ATATCAGAATCAAAGCTAAGAACCGTCAGGCTCGCCTCTGTATTCTTTTACTCAAAGTTAAGTTAAAAATCAGTACGAGGACAATCAGGAGAGTCGAGGAGGCCGCCGCGGAAGTTGACCCTGACACTGTCGCACAGGCCAAACGGCGAGAAGAGAAAAGACAGCGAGAACCAAACCCAATCCTGCCGACTACTGTCCCCCAAACTCTGTATTCAATGTGCTAGCCCCCTCGCCATATGCAGACATAGTCGTTTATTCAAGTACATCCAATAACATCATGCTCCCGTTATCCTACATGCATCCCTCGGCCCTCCGAGGCTCCCTCAATCGCTGCTGTACACCTCCCTCTGGCTCCCTCCCTTGCTCCCCCGCTTCCCCTGGTGCTTGTACGGCCAGTGCCCTACTCCCAGCCGCCTGCACACCAGCTTCATCGTCGACTTGCCGATGCCGATCTTGGCCGCCGCGACCTCGAGGCTCTCGTGGAAGTGCTCTGCCAGCCGCTCCCGCGTGATCTCCACCGGCCCGTCCCCTGCCGTGAGCTGCCGGGAGTGGATCACGACGACGTCTGGCCTGGTGGGCAGGCTGCGGAGACGGGCAGCTCCTGCGGCTGTGCGGGACGCGCCGAGGCCCTGAGACGCTGGCTCTGGCTGATCTGGCGTCGGGGACTCCGGAATCCTGTGGGCGGCGATGTAGCAGCTGTCGAGCTGGTCCTCGGGCTCGTCCGGGATGCCGACGGCGTCGAGGGCGGCGGCCCAGTCTCCGCCGAGCACGAGAGGGGAGGCAAGCAGAGCGTGCCAGTCTGGCTCGAAGCCAGCCCTACAAGCTCCAGGCGCCTTGGGGAGGCTTGGGATGGGGTATGACTTGAGGGGAGCCTCGGTGGGAGAAGAGAAGGCGGAGGAGGGCTGGGAGCCGGCGGTCGAGGTAGACAAGTCCAGCCAGTCGGCGTCATTTAAGTAGCTTGATAGGGAATTGGAAGGGATATTGTGTGCCGAATGCGTATCTTTGTAACTGTTCTTCTCGCTGGTTGACATGAGTGTTGTATCTTATGGCTGAATCGTGTTCGATGGTTACCGCTTCTTGTTTGTGTAGGAAGGAAGGTTTCGGAGTTTGTTTTAGTGGCGAGTTGTGGGGAAGGGAGCCGGCACAAGATCAGACAGATAAGGTGCTGACAAGGCACATGGGCTCTCAAACAGTTTTCACGTCGTTTGGCCGCCTGGAGCCCCGGAGTAACGTGACTCGGACAAATTCCCCAACGGCCAGAATCGGAAGCTTGTTGAGTAATAATAATCGGAGTCAGGCTCCGAACCGACCGTTGAAACGAAGGGCTAGACGAGACGTTTCTCGACCGTTCGAACTTTATCCCGTGACCTCAATGTGTGTCCCGTGACCCCTACGAAAAACTCGCAACGCTCCATGGCCACCCTTTTCAAGGACTGTAGACAGGGAAAGGGGACAACAGCAAAGCAAGAGCATCAAGTGTCTGAAACAACATCAGAAAGGAAACATCACATTGAAGAACACACATTAAAATCATAATGTTACTGAACCAAATCGATCAATTTGCATTCGAGCCAGACTGGCACGCTCTGCTTGCCTCCCCTCTCGTGCTCGGCGGAGACTGGGCCGCCGCCCTCGACGCCGTCGGCATCCCGGACGAGCCCGAAGACCAGCTCGACAGCTGCTACATCGCCGCCCACAGGATTCCGGAGTCCCCGACGCCAGATCAGCCAGAGGCAGCGTCTCAGGGCCTCGGCGCGTCCCGCACAGCCGCAGGAGCTGCCCGTCTCCGCAGCCTGCCCACCAGGCCAGACGTCGTCGTGATCCACTCCCGGCAGCTCACGGCAGGGGACGGGCCGGTGGAGATCACGCGGGAGCGGCTGGCAGAGCACTTCCACGAGAGCCTCGAGGTCGCGGCGGCCAAGATCGGCATCGGCAAGTCGACGATGAAGCTGGTGTGCAGGCGGCTGGGAGTAGGGCACTGGCCGTACAAGCACCAGGGGAAGCGGGGGAGCAAGGGAGGGAGCCGGAGGGAGGTGTACAGCAGCGATTGAGAGGGAGGGCCGAGGGATGCATGTAGGATAACGGGAGCATGATGTTATTGGATGTACTTGAATAAACGACTATGTCTGCATATGGCGAGGGTGCTAGCAATGCAAGGCGAGACTGAGAGCGCTTAGCCGTCGAGCTTGATCGTGATATGCCGGCATGGTGAGATTGCTCGTTGATCATGAGCCTCAGTCTGGATTGCCGTCAAGCATAGTATTGGCGAGGTCGGAGTTGGTCTTGAGTCGGCATCGTCCACTTGCCAGCCTGGCACACCCTTTTTGGATGTCGGAGCTTGGCGACCAAGACAGTTAGGAGATATGTCTGCAGAGCACCTGTCACGGTCCGCTAACCCTGATAACGCAGCTCTTTCCGGCCTCCATTCTCTGAAGCCGCCCAAGCGATGCGATCTAGCCCAAGTCATAAATCCGGCCCGGAGCAGGAATGCGAAAACACTCACCTTCTCGGACTTGATCTCCGAGAGTAGAGCGAGACAACTCGAGACGCTTCTCGCGGCTTCGAATGCTGCTTGGTGATACGTGAGGTAAAATGCACCCTCGCGTCGCTTCAGCATGCTCCCGTCAGCGTGATCCCGTGACCTCAGATCCGCCTCCATGTCCACTTTCCCCCTGCGCCCTTCCATACAAGACCTCTCTGTCCGCAGCCTTGCCACCAGCACACTCAGCCCGGAGCACCAGGCACGGCCAGCAAGCTACAACCACCAGGCTACAGACAGACAGCCCACCCTTTCTCTCCCTATCCACCTATCCAGACTATCTGTGCACCACCTCCCCCACGACACTTACTCTACCCTCCAACATGTGGTCTGACGACGAGAGCTTAACCGCGTGGAGCCCAAGCGACACGAGCTACGACATGGAGGATGACATGAGCGCATGCTCATCAGTATCCAGCGCCGACTGGCTGGACTTGTCTACCTCGACCGCCGGCTCCCAGCCCTCCTCCGCCTTCTCTTCTCCCACCGAGGCTCCCCTCAAGTCATACCCCATCCCAAGCCTCCCCAAGGCGCCTGGAGCTTGTAGGGCTGGCTTCGAGCCAGACTGGCACGCTCTGCTGGCCTCCCCTCTCGTGCTCGGCGGAGACTGGGCCGCCGCCCTCGACGCCGTCGGCATCCCGGACGAGCCCGAAGACCAGCTCGACAGCTGCTACATCGCCGCCCACAGGATTCCGGAGTCCCCGACGCCAGATCAGCCAGAGGCAGCGTCTCAGGGCCTCGGCGCGTCCCGCACAGCCGCAGGAGCTGCCCGTCTCCGCAGCCTGCCCACCAGGCCAGACGTCGTCGTGATCCACTCCCGGCAGCTCACGGCAGGGGACGGGCCGGTGGAGATCACGCGGGAGCGGCTGGCAGAGCACTTCCACGAGAGCCTCGAGGTCGCGGCGGCCAAGATCGGCATCGGCAAGTCGACGATGAAGCTGGTGTGCAGGCGGCTGGGAGTAGGGCACTGGCCGTACAAGCACCAGGGGAAGCGGGGGAGCAAGGGAGGGAGCCGGAGGGAGGTGTACAGCAGCGATTGAGAGGGAGGGCCGAGGGATGCATGTAGGATAACGGGAGCATGATGTTATTGGATGTACTTGAATAAACGACTATGTCTGCATATGGCGAGGGTGCTAGCAATGCAAGGCGAGACTGAGAGCGCTTAGCCGTCGAGCTTGATCGTGATATGCCGGCATGGTGAGATTGCTCGTTGATCATGAGCCTCAGTCTGGATTGCCGTCAAGCATAGTATTGGCGAGGTCGGAGTTGGTCTTGAGTCGGCATCGTCCACTTGCCAGCCTGGCACACCCTTTTTGGATGTCGGAGCTTGGCGACCAAGTCAGTTAGGAGATATGTCTGCAGAGCACCTGTCACGGTCCGCTAACCCTGATAACGCAGCTCTTTCCGGCCTCCATTCTCTGAAGCCGCCCAAGCGATGCGATCTAGCCCAAGTCATAAATCCGGCCCGGAGCAGGAATGCGAAAACACTCACCTTCTCGGACTTGATCTCCGAGAGTAGAGCGAGACAACTCGAGACGCTTCTCGCGGCTTCGAATGCTGCTTGGTGATACGTGAGGTAAAATGCACCCTCGCGTCGCTTCAGCATGCTCCCGTCAGCGTGATCCCGTGACCTCAGATCCGCCTCCATGTCCACTTTCCCCCTGCGCTCTCCCCTACAAGACCTCTCTGTCCGCAGCCTTGCCACCAGCACACTCAGCCCGGAGCACCAGGCACGGCCAGCAAGCTACAACCACCAGGCTACAGACAGACAGCCCACCCTTTCTCTCCCTATCCACCTATCCAGACTATCTGTGCACTACCTCCCCCACGACACTTACTCTACCCTCCAACATGTGGTCTGACGACGAGAGCTTAACCGCGTGGAGCCCAAGCGACACGAGCTACGACATGGAGGATGACATGAGCGCATGCTCATCAGTATCCAGCGTCGACTGGCTGGACTTGTCTACCTCGACCGCCGGCTCCCAGCCCTCCTCCGCCTTCTCTTCTCCCACCGAGGCTCCCCTCAAGTCATACCCCATCCCAAGCCTCCCCAAGGCGCCTGGAGCTTGTAGGGCTGGCTTCGAGCCAGACTGGCACGCTCTGCTTGCCTCCCCTCTCGTGCTCGGCGGAGACTGGGCCGCCGCCCTCGACGCCGTCGGCATCCCGGACGAGCCCGAAGACCAGCTCGACAGCTGCTACATCGCCGCCCACAGGATTCCGGAGTCCCCGACGCCAGATCAGCCAGAGGCAGCGTCTCAGGGCCTCGGCGCGTCCCGCACAGCCGCAGGAGCTGCCCGTCTCCGCAGCCTGCCCACCAGGCCAGACGTCGTCGTGATCCACTCCCGGCAGCTAACGGCAGGGGACGGGCCGGTGGAGATCACGCGGGAGCGGCTGGCAGAGCACTTCCACGAGAGCCTCGAGGTCGCGGCGGCCAAGATCGGCATCGGCAAGTCGACGATGAAGCTGGTGTGCAGGCGGCTGGGAGTAGGGCACTGGCCGTACAAGCACCAGGGGAAGCGGGGGAGCAAGGGAGGGAGCCGGAGGGAGGTGTACAGCAGCGATTGAGAGGGAGGGCCGAGGGATGCATGTAGGATAACGGGAGCATGATGTTATTGGATGTACTTGAATAAACGACTATGTCTGCATATGGCGAGGGTGCTAGCAATGCAAGGCGAGACTGAGAGCGCTTAGCCGTCGAGCTTGATCGTGATATGCCGGCATGGTGAGATTGCTCGTTGATCATGAGCCTCAGTCTGGATTGCCGTCAAGCATAGTATTGGCGAGGTCGGAGTTGGTCTTGAGTCGGCATCGTCCACTTGCCAGCCTGGCACACCCTTTTTGGATGTCGGAGCTTGGCGACCAAGACAGTTAGGAGATATGTCTGCAGAGCACCTGTCACGGTCCGCTAACCCTGATAACGCAGCTCTTTCCGGCCTCCATTCTCTGAAGCCGCCCAAGCGATGCGATCTAGCCCAAGTCATAAATCCGGCCCGGAGCAGGAATGCGAAAACACTCACCTTCTCGGACTTGATCTCCGAGAGTAGAGCGAGACAACTCGAGACGCTTCTCGCGGCTTCGAATGCTGCTTGGTGATACGTGAGGTAAAATGCACCCTCGCGTCGCTTCAGCATGCTCCCGTCAGCGTGATCCCGTGACCTCAGATCCGCCTCCATGTCCACTTTCCCCCTGCGCTCTCCCCTACAAGACCTCTCTGTCCGCAGCCTTGCCACCAGCACACTCAGCCCGGAGCACCAGGCACGGCCAGCAAGCTACAACCACCAGGCTACAGACAGACAGCCCACCCTTTCTCTCCCTATCCACCTATCCAGACTATCTGTGCACTACCTCCCCCACGACACTTACTCTACCCTCCAACATGTGGTCTGACGACGAGAGCTTAACCGCGTGGAGCCCAAGCGACACGAGCTACGACATGGAGGATGACATGAGCGCATGCTCATCAGTATCCAGCGTCGACTGGCTGGACTTGTCTACCTCGACCGCCGGCTCCCAGCCCTCCTCCGCCTTCTCTTCTCCCACCGAGGCTCCCCTCAAGTCATACCCCATCCCAAGCCTCCCCAAGGCGCCTGGAGCTTGTAGGGCTGGCTTCGAGCCAGACTGGCACGCTCTGCTGGCCTCCCCTCTCGTGCTCGGCGGAGACTGGGCCGCCGCCCTCGACGCCGTCGGCATCCCGGACGAGCCCGAAGACCAGCTCGACAGCTGCTACATCGCCGCCCACAGGATTCCGGAGTCCCCGACGCCAGATCAGCCAGAGGCAGCGTCTCAGGGCCTCGGCGCGTCCCGCACAGCCGCAGGAGCTGCCCGTCTCCGCAGCCTGCCCACCAGGCCAGACGTCGTCGTGATCCACTCCCGGCAGCTCACGGCAGGGGACGGGCCGGTGGAGATCACGCGGGAGCGGCTGGCAGAGCACTTCCACGAGAGCCTCGAGGTCGCGGCGGCCAAGATCGGCATCGGCAAGTCGACGATGAAGCTGGTGTGCAGGCGGCTGGGAGTAGGGCACTGGCCGTACAAGCACCAGGGGAAGCGGGGGAGCAAGGGAGGGAGCCGGAGGGAGGTGTACAGCAGCGATTGAGAGGGAGGGCCGAGGGATGCATGTAGGATAACGGGAGCATGATGTTATTGGATGTACTTGAATAAACGACTATGTCTGCATATGGCGAGGGTGCTAGCAATGCAAGGCGAGACTGAGAGCGCTTAGCCGTCGAGCTTGATCGTGATATGCCGGCATGGTGAGATTGCTCGTTGATCATGAGCCTCAGTCTGGATTGCCGTCAAGCATAGTATTGGCGAGGTCGGAGTTGGTCTTGAGTCGGCATCGTCCACTTGCCAGCCTGGCACACCCTTTTTGGATGTCGGAGCTTGGCGACCAAGTCAGTTAGGAGATATGTCTGCAGAGCACCTGTCACGGTCCGCTAACCCTGATAACGCAGCTCTTTCCGGCCTCCATTCTCTGAAGCCGCCCAAGCGATGCGATCTAGCCCAAGTCATAAATCCGGCCCGGAGCAGGAATGCGAAAACACTCACCTTCTCGGACTTGATCTCCGAGAGTAGAGCGAGACAACTCGAGACGCTTCTCGCGGCTTCGAATGCTGCTTGGTGATACGTGAGGTAAAATGCACCCTCGCGTCGCTTCAGCATGCTCCCGTCAGCGTGATCCCGTGACCTCAGATTCGCCTCCATGTCCACTTTCCCCCTGCGCTCTCCCCTACAAGACCTCTCTGTCCGCAGCCTTGCCACCAGCACACTCAGCCCGGAGCACCAGGCACGGCCAGCAAGCTACAACCACCAGGCTACAGACAGACAGCCCACCCTTTCTCTCCCTATCCACCTATCCAGACTATCTGTGCACTACCTCCCCCACGACACTTACTCTACCCTCCAACATGTGGTCTGACGACGAGAGCTTAACCGCGTGGAGCCCAAGCGACACGAGCTACGACATGGAGGATGACATGAGCGCATGCTCATCAGTATCCAGCGTCGACTGGCTGGACTTGTCTACCTCGACCGCCGGCTCCCAGCCCTCCTCCGCCTTCTCTTCTCCCACCGAGGCTCCCCTCAAGTCATACCCCATCCCAAGCCTCCCCAAGGCGCCTGGAGCTTGTAGGGCTGGCTTCGAGCCAGACTGGCACGCTCTGCTTGCCTCCCCTCTCGTGCTCGGCGGAGACTGGGCCGCCGCCCTCGACGCCGTCGGCATCCCGGACGAGCCCGAAGACCAGCTCGACAGCTGCTACATCGCCGCCCACAGGATTCCGGAGTCCCCGACGCCAGATCAGCCAGAGGCAGCGTCTCAGGGCCTCGGCGCGTCCCGCACAGCCGCAGGAGCTGCCCGTCTCCGCAGCCTGCCCACCAGGCCAGACGTCGTCGTGATCCACTCCCGGCAGCTAACGGCAGGGGACGGGCCGGTGGAGATCACGCGGGAGCGGCTGGCAGAGCACTTCCACGAGAGCCTCGAGGTCGCGGCGGCCAAGATCGGCATCGGCAAGTCGACGATGAAGCTGGTGTGCAGGCGGCTGGGAGTAGGGCACTGGCCGTACAAGCACCAGGGGAAGCGGGGGAGCAAGGGAGGGAGCCGGAGGGAGGTGTACAGCAGCGATTGAGGGAGGGCCGAGGGATGCATGTAGGATAACGGGAGCATGATGTTATTGGATGTACTTGAATAAACGACTATGTCTGCATATGGCGAGGGTGCTAGCAATGCAAGGCGAGACTGAGAGCGCTTAGCCGTCGAGCTTGATCGTGATATGCCGGCATGGTGAGATTGCTCGTTGATCATGAGCCTCAGTCTGGATTGCCGTCAAGCATAGTATTGGCGAGGTCGGAGTTGGTCTTGAGTCGGCATCGTCCACTTGCCAGCCGGACACCCTTTTTGGATGTCGGAGCTTGGCGACCAAGTCAGTTAGGAGATATGTCTGCAGAGCACCTGTCACGGTCCGCTAACCCTGATAACGCAGCTCTTTCCGGCCTCCATTCTCTGAAGCCGCCCAAGCGATGCGATCTAGCCCAAGTCATAAATCCGGCCCGGAGCAGGAATACGAAAACACTCACCTTCTCGGACTTGATCTCCGCGAGTAGAGCGAGACAACTCGAGACGCTTCTCGCGGCTTCGAATGCTGCTTGGTGATACGTGAGGTAAAATGCACCCTCGCGTCGCTTCAGCATGCTCCCGTCAGCGTGATCCCGTGACCTCAGATCCGCCTCCATGTCCACTTTCCCCCTGCGCCCTCCCCTACAAGACCTCTCTGTCCGCAGCCTTGCCACCAGCACACTCAGCCCGGAGCACCAGGCACGGCCAGCAAGCTACAACCTCCAGGCTACAGACAGACAGCCCGCCCTTTCTCTCCCTATCCCCCTATCCAGACTATCTGTGCACCACCTCCCCCACGACACTTACTCTACCCTCCAACATGTGGTCTGACGACGAGAGCTTAACCGCGTGGAGCCCAAGCGACACGAGCTACGACATGGAGGATGACATGAGCGCATGCTCATCAGTATCCAGTGCCGACTGGCTGGACTTGTCTACCTCGACCGCCGGCTCCCAGCCCTCCTCCGCCTTCTCTTCTCCCACCGAGGCTCCCCTCAAGTCATACCCCATCCCAAGCCTCCCCAAGGCGCATGGAGCTTGTAAGGCTGGCTTCGAGCCAGACTGGCACGCTCTGCTTGCCTCCCCTCTCGTGCTCGGCGGAGACTGGGCCGCCGCCCTCGACGCCGTCGGCATCCCGGACGAGCCCGAGGACCAGCTCGACAGCTGCTACATCGCCGCCCACAGGATTCCGGAGTCCCCGACACCAGACCAGCCTGAGCCAGCGTCTCAGGGCCTCGGCGCGTCCCGCACAGCCGCAGGAGCTGCCCGTCTCCGCAGCCTGCCCACCAGGCCAGACGTCGTCGTGATCCACTCCCGGCAGCTCACGGCAGGGGACGGGCCGGTGGAGATCACGCGGGAGCGGCTGGCAGAGCACTTCCACGAGAGCCTCGAGGTCGCGGCGGCCAAGATCGGCATCGGCAAGTCGACCATGAAGCTGGTGTGCAGGCGGCTGGGAGTAGGGCACTGGCCGTACAAGCACCAGGGGAAGCGGGGGAGCACGGGAGGGAGGCGGAGGGAGGTGTACAGCAGCGATTGAGGGAGGGCCGAGGGATGCATGTAGGATATCGGGAGCATGATGTTATTGGATGTACTTGAATAAACGACTATGTCTGCATATGGCGAGGGTGCTAGCGATGCAAGGCGAGACTGAGAGCGCTTAGCCGTCGAGCTTGATCGTGATATGCCGGCATGGTGAGATTGCTCGTTGATCATGAGCCTCAGTCTGGATTGCCGTCAAGCATAGTATTGGCGAGGTCGGAGTTTGTTTTGTTCGTTTTTGTTGTTTGTTGTTTGTTCGTTGTTTTATTTTAGGCATGAGTGTTCACGGGCTCATTGATTGTTTATTCGGCATGATTCTTCGCTCACATGTTTTGGGGATCATTGGGTAACGGCTCATCATTACTTCCAAAAAAACAATATTTTCTGGTACCTTTTGAAGGGAAAAAGGATTTAAAACCGCAAAAAAAGAATGTGGTTCCACCCTTCAACGATCAACTGCGGGAATTTGTAGCAGCAGGACATGAGGATAGGATGGAAGCAGAAGTGGAGAGCGGCAGGGACAACAGGGACAACAAGACAGGTCGACTGCTAAGGTATCTCCTCCTTTTTCAAGCCTTCTCTCCTCGTAACCCTGCTATGCTCACTGTGAATGCCAGGAGCCTTGCTGTGAGTCGGTTTTGTCTGGAGGACTCTGTGCCGGTAGTACCAACACCGAAGCTAGGACGTTGCTTCTGAGAGACCATGTATCAGGTCTTGGTGAAACATAACGTCTTCATCGGCTCTATAGGAAGCGTCAAGAACCCCTCAGCGCTGAAACAACTTGGCATCACGCACGTTCTCGTGCTTTGCTCCGAAAAGGTGCCCGCATGACGGTTGGCCTTCGCAAATGACGAGCTTCAGTTTTTGAAAGATCCAGAGATATCATATCAGGTTGTTAACGATATTGAAGACTCGGCAAGTATGTTGCATACCATGGGGAGACGCCGCTGGGATCTAAGAGAAAGCAGATGCGAACCTGTTTCAACGTTTACCATCTCTGTGCGAGCACATTGAGGTTGCCGCATTCACCGGGGCTCCATACCGTTGATACACGTAAATTCAGGCCAGCGCAAAGAAAGGAGGGATTCTAGTGAGCTGCTTCCAAGGAAAGAGCCGCTCTGCTGCGGTGCACCATTGTTTCTGAGGATCTGGTAGAGAGTAACGCTAGCAGGTCATCACCGCATATCTGATGCAACGTGACGGATTATCCTTGGAGCAAGGTATGCCTTGACTAAAATGACAAGATTCTCGTATGCTGCATGATACTAGCATGTGGTTGCTCCATCGTCATGCTTTCTCCCCATTATGTGTCGTCAAATCAAGCATCTCAATTGTGGCTAACGCAATCTAACAGCTCTTGAGCTTGTACGCGCTGCCAGGCCACGAGCACAACCCAATCTTGGGTGAGCAATCGAGCTTGTCTGTCATGCCATCAACATGACGGTAGATCCGCAGCTTTATCGCAGATCTGCGGAGATGGGGAAAGACACTGGAGGAAGGGAGAGAAGGACAGCGCAACCGAACTACGAGAACAGTGGGGGCGATGGAGATGCGATGACTTGGTACAAGAGATCAAAATTCCACTTACAGATTGTCATGGACATGCGAAGATAGACATAGTCCATAACACAACATTCTTTGTTCCTAATAGTTAGCAATCTACATGGTTGGAGACTTGATGCTGTTGATCGCTTTCTCGAGGTCCTCCATGTTGCTGACGCAAACGTTGTCGCCCCACGACTTCTCTCTGTGCTCGAAGATGATTCCTTGCGATCCGGGCCCCACGACCCAGACGCCTCCAAGAATCGTCCCCTCTCCTGCCAGGTTTCCTTGGATCCCTTTGCTATTCACTCTCCTCAGATTTTTGGCTACAGTTCCGCCGCACAAGTAGCTGAAGATTCCCATGAACGTGTTGGTCGGTGTCTTGCCGTCACCCATGAGCGGATACCAGGTTTTCTTGCCCAGATCGAAGTACAGCTCTCCTTTCCTGAGTTGAAGCGAATCAGTAAAATTGCAAGGAGCAAACAAACACGTTCGAACAGAATGGAAGCAAGGAACACACGACCGGGGAAGCACAAAAGGACTAAAGGAACGAGCAAGTCGATTGTCAAACATCTTTACCAGAAGTCTTTGCGAAACTCCTCGTGTCCCAGGTGCTCTCCAGCAATACCTATCAACCTGATCCCGCGGGCATCCAGCTTCGGTTTCAACCCAGAGAGAGAGAGAGCCTCTTCCCTGCATAGAGGGCAGCCCATTCTCCTGATGAGGAACACAACTGCTCCTGCTGGGTTGGGGAAGGTGGAGGCGTCGATGACTTTGCCGTCCAGCGTCGTTGCCTTGAGCGCCTGGAATGAAGCTGTTTTGTGTGCCATTGCTCTAGTAGTCGCCCACATACAAGGGACTTCATCTGATATCAGCGTTGTTAAACTAAAACAATTTGTACGGAAGTAATGAGATAAAACATTTTAAGTAACGTTAAAACTCTCACCGGTACGATTTGTTAGGCTTGTAGGAAAACTGTAGATATTTTTAGAAGATTCCGAGGTTTTTAGAATTCGAAATTAACGGTGAGCGTAACCGATGACCTTTCACCTTCCTCCAAAAAATACACACCACCCTACCCCCCCTCCCTGACACGTTATCACCAGAACCCCCTCCTCATCCCACTCCGCCTCCTCCTGATTCGTCCTCATTCCTGCTCGTTCCTCCTCACTGGGAATCGATCATCTTGAAACTCTTAGCTGGTTCGCTACTCATCGCCGTCCCTTGTTTCATACGTTCCTAACCCCGCTGTTCTCCCCCTTGAATTGATAGATAGCGCTTGATACCGCCTCTGCAACGCATACCGGCATGATCATCGAAGCCATGTTGATCGGAGGCTTTAGCTTCACTGCCGTCTGCGCTGTCTCGGCATCAGGTGCTGTAGACAAGATCGCAGAAGAGTCAGGACTGTAAGTGCTGTTGTATGCACGATGCTGCTTCTGATCGCTGTGTTGTTGTGAACGCAGGCAGGAGAAGGGGGAGCTGGACAAATGGAGGCAAAAGAACGAGTTTGACATGCGCGACCTCCTCGACGTCGATGACTTCATTAAGGATGTATGTACCACTGATAACAGATGCTACCTTTCCCCATGCATACCTTCATGCCCCCTCCCGTTCTCTCGACTCCATTCAGTATTACAGGCTGCGTTGTCCCCTCTTTTGCCTTCCTGCAGATTGTTCTGCTTCAATCCATCCTATATTAATGCATACTCTCTGACTGCCTGTCTTCTTCAAATTAATTCTTTGGACATTTTGCTACCCTCCTCCAAGTATGGCACCTCCATGATTACGGTTTGACAGGTGAAAGAAGAAATCGGGCTAGAGGTTGAAGAGAAAGAGGAAACCCCAAAGAACGACACTGAAAAGCCTGAAGTGGAGGCAGGAAACATCTGAAATTAGCAAGAGCAAATCTAAATCTTTTGAGATCTGTGATTTGGATGTATCATAGTTTTATTTGAGTCAAAGATATTCGGTGAAGTATCATCCCCGCCATGTATTGCTTCAACAAATGCTCGACAGCGAATGGATGGACTACAGAACTCTACGGCAAGAAACTTGCTGTATTTAGCAAAAGCGGAATAAAATAAAAATACTCTGCACACGTTAAAAGTACAAACTTCAGGTCTGACAAGGACAAAACAGACTCTAGTACTCGAATTGTCTATTTGTCAAAACCTTGGGCGCGATCATGGACCATCCGTACATCAGAGATAGAATCCAAGAATCTACAATCTTGATCCACATGCTTGTAGTGCTCTTATCGATGCTGTTCACGGTGTATTCAGTGTTCCAGTTTGTAAGCTGCAAGCAATGTCACAAATCGGGTGGTGAGGACAATCAAAGAAACAAGGAGGGCATGGATAGGCATACCTGCATTGCGACGTAGCACATTCCAAATGCTACTGCGAAATGGAAGAAAGCAACATTGTAGCCGACGGGTCCAGAAAGCGCAGGAGCTTCTACACACAAAGATCTTACCGACGACCCATCTTTGGGGTATTTCACCTGATTCGCCGTGTTCAACAGTATCTGTGTTCATGTGGTTCGTTGGTTGTGCTTCGAGCTCCACAAGAGGAACCTAATCAGATCATGCAACAGCAACGATAAATAAAATGAACATGCAAACAAGCCCTTGCACGCAGCACATTTCAAGTCACTTACCGAACGATCGTTCGATTGGGCACCGCTATCGTGCGTTGGCCCCCAGAACTGACCATCACGGTCCATTCCTTTTGAGATCCATACGCTATTGTAAGCTGCCAGAACGACAGCGATGATGATAGAAATCCCACCAATGACCTTACTTGAAGTCAGTGTCATGTTGCTACGGCACTACACCGGCTACCTCCGGAGGCCCTGTGCTGCTTGCAGCGCTGATAGAGTTGCACGTATTCTGCGAGTAGAGCGCGTTGAGAACCTTAAACGTCATGAAGATCGCGACGAGTGTGCTCGGAAGCAGGCCTGTCGAAGGAACCCATTCGGTTGCCTGCAAAAGACCATCAAACCTCAAGCTACGCTTGATGGAGTTTCTGTTCTTACGCGAAACGAAAGGATTGTAAGAAACACGAACATAATAAGGTTCCAGGAAATGAAAAACAAGTAGAGCCCGCATGATTCCTCGGGCTGCGTCGAACTTGTTCCGAACCTGTACAGGCGTAACTGAAACTGCTTCAGATCGATTGGTTCAAGGATACCATTTGAACATGAATGCTGTCAGTGTAACAGACCCGCCAAAGCAAATGAAAGAAATGATCATAATGGCAATGTGAAATGGCCCAGAGATGTTCTCCGCTCCATCCTGCGCCAAGCTATCAGTTCAAAAATCTTCGATTGGAATCCGGCGAAATGTGAAACATTACCCTGGCAATCCAATCCTCATTCAATTGATACACCCATTCAATATACAAGATGATCTTCAATTGTTTCAGTACATCATTTGGAGTTGTCCACAAACAAGGCACCTGGACGAGGATAAAAAGAATCCCGAAAATCAACGCCAGCCATCCAAATCCAAGGAAGAACGACGATGGGATCAGAAAGACAATGAAGTGCAGTATGGCCCACCACGCCTTCAAATAACATTGCATCAATAAAAGCAACATCTTCAATTCGTTTCTCACCAGCTTGATCGGCCATAGAGCTGTATGAAAGGCAACACGGGGATTTGAGTAGTCGTTGACACCAATAGTGGGGAGCCCCAGTGTGAGGTGAAAGACTGAAGTCGCGAAACAAAGGCGCAAGACGAAAGCTCTGTTACACGAGATTCCAGTCAAAGGACAACACGGCCCTGCCCCCCCTCGCATACCGCGCGACACATCCATTCGATTTCGTATCACTCGGACAGTTGAGGCTCTTGCTAAAGATATCGTTCCCAGTGAAGGACTCTGGAGCCTTGTCTCTGAAAATCTGAAAACAATCCATGAATGCCCGCAGCTTGATATTAAAACAACAAAAGCAAAGGTCTTACCCAGGTTGCCAGCACCACAACTAGGAACAAGAAGAAATACGTTAACCTCGATGTCCGAGAGACTACAGTCTCTTGCTTTGGAGAGTCATTCCCAGAACACAGTTTTCTAGTATTCAAGAGCAAGTCAGACACCTAATACGACATCAATCTCAATCGGTCACCCGCATAGAAAGGTGCAAATGCTCGATGATACGCATGTGCAAGCCTGGCAAGCAATGCATGCAGCAAAAGATCCGAGCAGACCTGACATTCTGTAATGGAAAACAGTCAAAGAAGAAGAAAAAACACTTTCAGCAGGATGTTGAAAGCCATCGTGGAAAACCATCAACATGGAGCATGGTTTTCATCTCGGGACACTGCTTGCTTCCATCAGCACAATCACAACAAAGTGCGATCCATTGCAGGTTTCTCATGAGTTGGGAGTCGTTCACAACCCGTAGACCCAACCCCCATGATGTTCCACTCATACCTCCTCTATGCTTCTCTCCTTCCTCAGAGCCCTTTCCTCCGCTCCTCATGTCCTCATCTCCTCGTCTCCTCATGTCCTTCTCCTCCTTCTCCTCCTCTCCTCCTCTCCATGCCAGCGCTCGACTTTGTCTCTGCCATTTCCCACCGTCTACTACCCCCTACCCCTCGCACTCAACTATCCCCACCTCCACCTCCATACCCCAAGCACCCCCCACTGGAGCTGTCGATCAAACCGGGGGCACCCACCTTCAATTCGAGTACCCCCTCGTTCATCACCATCCTCATACCAATTTCTTAGGTCATCGTATTCTGTCCTGGGGTACTTGGTGATTGGGTGGGGTGGCGGTTTGCTGGGATTTGAGAATCTACCATCAGTACCCAGTAAAATCTGCTATTGAGAAGGGGTCACATGTCGATGAGTTGTAATGGGTGGGGTGGGGGTTGCCGAAAGCTGGACTCCAAATATGGAGGTCTGGGGAAATAACCCCTACCACCTTCTTGTAAGAGGAATGTACGGGTGGGATTACAGGTAAAATAGCAGTGGTACTGCGTGGGGAGGTGGAAATAAAATGAGGGTTCAAGCGGGGATGAGGGTTTCCAGAGAGTACAAAGATGCGGAATGCGGTGTTGGAGGAAGGATATGGGCAGGGAACATCGAGCGGAAAGGATGATCACTGACGGGATAGGAGAACAGAGACAGTGTGAATGCTACAGGAGAATGCATGAGACAGTACGGAGCGAGCTTTGATTACAACAGAGCAATCGTATCCCTTCCAACGTGGAGGAGTCTGATAAATCGAAAAAAGGATTTCCTGTCGATGACTTGAAGTCTTACTTGCATGATATTTATCTCCTATCAAATTTGACCAAGTGGTCTGTAGAGTTCAATCAGGAGACATGGAGTCAAGGGGATCAGACTCAAGTGATGATCTTGACGACGAACTCGAGCGATTATTTGACTCAAAGCGCTCCAACGTTACGTCACAACCTGCCGCTGAAACGTGTATGATAAAAAACCTTGAGTTGCACTTCATGCCAGAGGAAGTCGTTATCAAAATCTTGATGAAGCTGCCTGTCTTCTATATCTGCATGCTGTCATGCGCTTGCAAGAGGTACTCTGAGATTTGTCGATCTTCCAGACAGCTATGGAAGGCGTTGTTTGTGGATAGATGGGGAGGCAAGGAGGAATGCAGACCACACGAACATCCGTTATCTAATGGTTGGAATGAGATCGAGGAAGGTGATTACGACAAGCTATATCAATACTGGCACGTCGTTGACAACAACTGGCAACGCGGCCTGTTCAGCGTACATTCATTGGAAGGGCATAGAGGGAGCGTGAATTCTTGCAAGTTGCTGGGCGAGACTCTCTTGACAGTTGGTGAAGATCGGACAATCGGTTGGTGGGATCTCGAAAGTTTGACGTGCACGTGGGTGGAGCAGAACAGTCATAGCGGCTCGGTATGGGATCTTGCGACATTTGACGATTACGTGGTCACCAGCTCAGCCGATAGTACATTGAAGTTGTGGCAGTGTGGGGTGGATCAGATCTCAGGAAGTTCCAGTCCTATGAGGTAAGAATGCTTATTGCTCTTTCGGCATGTCAGCGAGACTGAGTCCTGAGGGCAGTTGCCTACGAATCCTCAAAGGCCATCGGCCTGGCTATGTTTGGTGCTGTGATATGGATGGAGGAAACATATATTCGGGGAGTGCTGACACAACCGTCAAGGTAAACTGAAGAAGCTACGCGCCCATCGCTCCAACATGACCAAAATGGCAGGTTTGGGACTTTGAAACGGGAAGCAACTATCAGACCCTTAAGGCTCACAATTCCAGGCGAACTAAAGCGCTCCGAGGATTGGCAGCTCATTGATTTTACAGTGTTTTTGTCGTGCGGGCATCGAAGGATAACGGCGAGAGTTCATATTCTCCCCATAAGGTGCCCCTTGTTCCTCTGCCTGTAATGAATTACCACGATTGACTGATATTCGCTCTTTTCGCAAAGTCTCTGTTATCAGTCTCAAGTGATGGAAAAATACTCCTCTGGGATCTAAGGACAGAGAAGACAGGTTTTGTGTAATCGGACTTTAAAAAGTGAGATTCTCATTTGTATTTAAGGACTATCCTTCACTGATGGAACAGAAGAGAATCCTGTTTTTAGTGCAGACTTGATTCAGGAACAGGTTTGTCGAGCCTTTCTTCCAACACCATTTGACAGAATCTTCTGAAGAATCTTATCATTGTTGGGAGTGGTGATAAATGTGTCAAGAAGTTTGATATCCGAACTGGCGAGTGCCTCGCGACGCTTATTGGGCATGATGACAGCATCTGGTCGATTTGCGTGAGTTGCTTTGACGCTGTTCAAACAAACTTATCATTTCAAACAGTACAACAGTCTTTCCAGACGACTTGTGTCCGGATCTGTGGACTGCGGAGTGAGGGTGAAAAGCGTTGTTTCACTTGTTTCCTGTGTGAACATAAAGGCAGGTTTGGGATTGTTTTAGTGACACGTGTATTGCGGAGATGACATGTCATATGCAATCAGTATGTTCTGTCGCTGCAGACGCACGTACGCAATTCCTTCCGTTGAGCTAGTGCCTTGACTTGTGTACGGGGCAGGGCGGGTTGTATCGGGTGACATAGGTGGATGGATTTTCATGTACGTGCAGGTTGAAATTATTCCCAGGATGTTAACACCTGACGCGCAGTTGGGACTTCGAGCGAAAGAACGTGTCTTGTGAATATCAAGCATTGATGACGCATACGGGGCCCATGTAAACATAACAGTACAGATAAAATCGGAGATCATCTTTAATGTTAACATCCTGATGTAATCAAACAAAAGCTTTGAAAGATGGCTCCAGTGTTGCACAAGTGCACAGACTAATTTTGACTTGAAACAATCCCCCAGTCTCTCAACTCTCGAGACTCTCAATACTGATACCGAACCATGCAGCCCCCCTTGTCCCCGATAAACGTTGTCGCTTACCGATTGCGGGAGTAGAAGTAGTCCCACTGGTCGCGAGCACGGCGCCAGTCATCGTAGGAAGCCCAGTTGTTGGCCTGGTAGTAGGTATCCTCTGCCTTCTTGTAGTAGAAGCGGGCAGTCTTCTGGTAGTCACCAGCCTGGGTGTAGAGAGCAGCTGCCTTTTTCTGTGAATTGATGTAAGAGTAACGAACATAACAAAATCAAATGAAGGTGAGGAGATCAATGTGAAGATAAGAAAATCACAAGGCAGGCTGGAAGAGTATCAACAAATTGCAACCATCAGTCAAAGCATTGCAATACGTCATCAACAACTGTAACAGTGCACTACATGTGATGAAACAGAGCATCAGAAGATGAAACATAGCAGAATAATCTACTCAACATCCTTCTTTGAATGTACTTCATTTTCAAGTCAGCTGATGTGATTGAACCCCCAAGAAAATTGGATGGAGGAAAACAAGCCCCAGCCCATCCAATTCGGTTAGATACCACACGAAGCAGATAAGCAAGGGTATGAGGGGATAACTGGCTCCCCGTATAGAATAGAAATATTTCGCAGGATTCTTCAAATCAAACATCAAGTCCAAATGGAATGAAACGAGCTCTCGAAACAGGCGTACACTAGCGACAAAAATCACCACACCTCATCTCATGATCGACTAGTTTCTTGATACCAACAAAACAAAAACAGGTGAAAAACGATCGATGGATATCAGACTGAGAAATCAACAGCAGCTGCAAGCACGAGGAGGAGGGCAAGTAAGGAGAGGAGGAGGGGCGACGTACTCCGTAGAGGATGGTGCGCATGGTTCCTGACGGTGCGAGGAGTCAGAGTGGCTTTTCGAAGGTCTGATGTCATCACCAGTACCCCCTACAATGTCCAGGTTTCATTATCCACCCCACCCCCGAAGAAGAGAACCACCTGCAGCTCTTGTATACCCCTTTGTTTCCAGTCTGAAGCCATATGAAAAGAAGGGTGGGGTGTCAATGCCCCTTCATCACTTTGAAACGAATTGTGTAACGGTACGGTAGCAAAGCTCGCATAGTCCGAGCCTGCCAGTGGGCCATGGCACGCCACGGTCAGCCGGGCCGGCCGGCGGCCGGTACGGTCAGCCTGACCGGCGGCCGGTCAGTCTCGGCCCGGCCGCCGGGCGGGCTCAGGCTCGGCGCACCGTCCGATCGGCCCGGCGACGGTCACAGTACGGTGCCCGGGCGCGGGCCGCTTGTTTACTCAAACTTCCGTTAAGTTAAAAATCAGAACGGGCCGCCGCGTGAACTGCGAGGCCCTCACTGCCGGACATTGAATCACCCGGCCTACCTTAGTAGGACCCGGCGTCGGTCCGATCGCGGCGCCGGGGCGGCAGCGGGCCGGGCCCGGCCTGCCCGGCGGCGGGTCAGACCGTGCCACAGTCACGCCGATTTCCCGAGTCCCGGGTCAACTGGCCCGGAGACTGAATGCGCAGCAAGGAATGCATGAGAGGAGCAATTGCGAGGCGTCCACAGAAGTGATGAAGGAAAACTCAAGTAAGAGCATGAGAGAACAATCAGGTGAGATTATGAAAGAAGTTACCATTGAGACTGTGAAAGAACACTCAAGTGAGACAATGAAAGAAGTTATAATCGACACAATGAAAGAGGAGCCAATGGAGAGAATGAAAGGGGAGGGTAATGCTCAGGACAAACCTGCAACCGTTGAGAAGCAGCAAGGAAATGATGAGCAGCAAGGAAATGATGAGCAGCAAGGAAATGATGAGCAGCAAGGAAATGAGGAGCAGCAGGCCACTGATACTGTAGGAGGGGGCAAACGGAAAAGGAAGAAGCAGTACAAAGCAAAATGCATGCACGGAAAAACGAAATATGACTGCAGAGAATGCGGTGGATCAGCGATTTGCGAGCATAACCGCAAGAGGTCGTTTTGTAAAGACTGTCGAGGCTCAGGAATATGCGAGCATCTTCAAAAACGCGCGAGATGTGTGGAGTGTGGAGGATCGGAGATCTGCAAACACGGGCAGAGGAGAACGCGGTGCAAAGCTTGTGGTGGCTCCGAAATCTGTATGCACATGAAGCAGAGGATATTTTGCAAGGACTGTAAAGGATCTGGCATCTGCATCCACAACCGAGTGAGGTTTGCATGCAAGCTATGCAGGGGATCTGGAGTATGTGAACATAATTGTGTGCGCTCAGTCTGTAGAGAATGCGGAGGCTCCAGTTTATGCCAGCATCTTCGCAGGAAGGATGTATGCAGAGAATGCCATGGAAGCGGAATCTGTCAGCACGGGAAACAGCGGGCCATGTGCAAAGATTGCAAGGGGTCAGGCATATGTGAGCACAACAGAGTGCGCTCTGTCTGCAAGGATTGCAAAGGTGCAGGTATCTGCATCCACAACCGTCGGAGGATTGTCTGTCGAGAGTGCAAAGGATCTGGTATATGTGAACATGACAGGCTAAGGTCGATATGCAGAGAGTGCAAAGGGCCTGGGATCTGTGAACACGATCGAGTCAGATTCAACTGTAAGGAATGCAAGCAGATTCGACTATCAACGAAGATTGAGGAGAGTGAGGGATAGGCTGCCCACGCTTGTTGCAGTTCGCGTCCTGCATGGCCGACAGCCGCACTGTTTTGTGCGGCATATGCATGGCTAGTAGAACGTATAGTATCATGCCTGTCGGACGGGGCGTGTCCGTCAAGTAAATGAGGCGATGCCGAAACAAGATGTCACTGTGACGAAGATGTCACGCGGCGCTACACGGACTGCTGCCGCTGGCAGCCTCGGAGTCTGGCCGGGCGCCGGGCCGCACCGTGTGAGCCGGCGGGCGCCGCGTGACGACCGGCCGGTCGCTGGAGGCCGCTTAAGTTACTACCGGGGCCGGCCGAGCAAGTGCCGGGCGGCCGAAGGCTTCACCGTTACCTCGGGCCGCCGTCTCGGCCGCCCGCGCAGCCTGAGGCTCCTGGACGGCCCAATCACTTGCACTCTCGTGACACGGTGACCAGGCCGGGCCGGCTGACGCCGCGGCCCGGGCCGCGGAGCCAGGCTGGCACGGTCGTCTGAACGGCACCGTCACCGCTGCCGATGATCCGGCGCCGGCCCCGGACGGCGGCGTCGGGATCATCGGATCAGGCAGTGACTCCCGGAGCCTGTGACTCCCGTCGGACTCGGACCGTACAGTGACCGACCGTGATCGGACGGTCCGGGAGCCTCGGAGCCTGGGCGCGCCTCACCTGTGTTTTTCGATCGAGCCCGCCTCACTTCCTGGAGGGGCTCGCCGCCGCATGCTGCAAGAAGAGCTTCCGCGCACGATCGGCGCCGTGACATTGGAGGCGCTGGGAGAGGTGAGACACTTGTTCCTGCCGTACTGTAAGATGAGAAAGAACCCCGTCCTCCCCTCCGACCTCCTCCGTCTTCACGTCTTTCATGGCTTGCTGGCCGATGCTGGTCGGGAGGGAGTGGCGGGTCGTTGGGGCAGCGCCCGGAACAGTGAAGAGCGAGGCATGGTGTACCTGAAGGGTCTCAAAATGACGATGATCGAATGTCTGATCGTATCCTGCATGCAAACAAGTCTTGAATGCCGTGGCATATGCTGTGCAACCTTTGGTTGGCTTGCTTGCTTGCCGCATCTTCAAGTTGGTTCCATTTCTCCTCGAAATCGAGTCTCTGTCCCACGTGTGCAGTTGCCTTGCATGTTCTTGAGTCATGTATACTGTATGATATGATGTGCGACTGCTGCAACTCAGAAATAAGTGCCGGTGGTCCGCCCATGCTGTTGTTTCCTGTGAGAAGCCAGCTCTTGCCCACTCCGCAAGCTCTGGCCGACACTGATGTCGCTTTTCTAGATCCAGGCAGATCTAAAAGGTTCTCATGATAAGGATTACATCTTTCCTGTTGGATTTCGATCTTCGCGCAAGCATGCTTCCATCATGGACCCATCCAAGAAGGGCGTCTACACATCCGAGGTGATCAAAGGGGAGGATGGCAGAGTGCGGTTCCGTGTGGTTTGCGAGGACGATCGGACGCAAGTGTTTGAAGATTCGACCGCAAATGTGAGACAAGCTCCTTTGCCCTTCGTGCCCTGGATGTTGAGATGTTCACATGTGAGTCGCAGGGAGCGTGGGGCCTCGTCTTCGACCACATCGCCTCCATGACGAGGAGGAGCTCACGGGCTTCCAGCGCAAACATGTTTCAGAGCGACCGAGGGATTGAGCAGTTTGGCTTCAGCACAGAAAAGATCAAGAAGGCGATTGCGGAACTACCGGGAGCAGAGGCGTTCATGAAACTTCGGCAGGGTGGGACGAACAAACCGACCAAGGAGAAGGAGAAGGAGAAGGAGAAGAGGAGGGAAGTAGAGGAGAAGCCAGAGGTATCAAGCAAGGACAAGAAGAAGAAGGGAGCGCAAAAACGTGGCAAGAAGAATGAAGGATACGTTCAGCCTCCTCCCATGGAGATGCTGAGGATGGGAGAGTTCCGGTGCATGGAGGAAGACATTGAAGTAATACCTGCAAGCCATCACGGGATGGTGAGAAGATGATTGGCTTGCCAGCTGTTGTTGTCTGACTTCTCTCCCCAGGTCTCTCTCAGCTCTATGGACGAGCAGTCGCAGAGGAAGATGCTGCATGAGTGAGGAGAATTTGGTTCCGGAGGGACTCTGGTGACTTGCCATGCAGGATCTGGGAACTTGCAGCGGTTCAACACTTCCTGAGATGTTTCCGGTATGTCGACGAGTCAGGGAGGAGCAAATGGAGGAAGAGTGGGGGGGGAGATAGGGGACGCTTGCTGGTGGCTGCAGGGGAGAGGGATGGATACGATGAAGGCTGCGGTAGCATTGCAGATCGCAGATTCGATGAGGATGTGCTGAATATGATACCAATCATCAAGTCTTGACGACATTTGCAACTGCAACTCATGCTGCCTTCAGGACTTCCCTTGGGATCGTCTCGAACCTCACCACAGAAGACTTTCACACTGCTTTCCTCGAATGCTCCTCTGTTATGAAAGTGATCCACTTGCGCCTGATGCTGAAGGCGGCGGATCGGAAGAAAGCTCCCGAGATGGCAGACAACGAGAGCTGGTCTCCCTCCCGCCTGACTGCTCTTCGAGTTCTGCGATGTTCTTCACACTATAATCTCTCTCCCTTCTTCTTGTTTGATCAGTCCTTTCTCCGATCTTGTCTCGACTCCCCGTTGACTTTGCTGAGCAGGCTGTACATGCTGAGATCTCGGCTGCAATCGCAGGAGGATTACTGGGATGAGGACATGGGAAGATGGGAGAAGACAGAGGTTGCCACATGTTTCAGTCTGCATCTATCATGGAAACGATGAGATTATGATTCAGACGATGATACTAAGCATTGCAGCAACGATGATCATGATGTTGTTGTTGTTGATGATGATGATGATGATGACGACGACGACGACGATGGCGACGACGATGATGATGTCAACGATGATGTCAACGATGATGTCAACGATGATGTCAATGATGATGTCAACGATGATGATCATGAGGAGGAGGAGGAAGAGGAGGTGAAGGAGGAGGATGACCTGCTCTTGGTGCAGCCGGAGTGGAGCAGCTTCCTCGAAGAGGATCCGATGCCGGAAGGGATCGAGCAATATTACCAGCTTCCTCTTAGGATCAGAGCGCTCATCCTGTGGCACCTGTGCGAATGCCTGCTAGATGGGAACGAGGAACATCGAGCAGCAAACTTTCCCAACGTTGAGTGGGACGATGCCGGTAAGGAGAGCAACATTATGAAGGTTGACACTAGAGAAGCAAGCAAGGGATGGGAGAGGAAGAGAAGAGAAGGGCAGGGAATGAGGGGGACGAGAAGTTGATTATAGTGCTGATCCTCATTGAAACAATGGGTTGTGTGTGAAAGCGATCAAAGGGATAAAAGGATGGAATCGATGAGTCGTTGGTATCAGGAGATTATGATATCCGGCTGACTTGCGCATCAGATGCTCTGAGGTTGTTCCCCTCCTGTCATGACAGCCATGGAAACGCCTACTGGTACCTGGAGGGAAGCGATGGGATCCTGTACCGGGAGTCTCCTCCTCATGCCGGCCACAAGGCTCGAGCTCCATCGTTCCAGTCTGTCTCTCTCAACCACAACGAGCTGATGGATGTCGGGAAGGAGATGCTGGCGGAGGGGAAGAAGAAGAAGAAGCACGGGCTCCAGCACTTTGCTAAGTGGCTGGTGGAGGAAGAAGGCCCAAAGCTTGCTTCCAAGGCACTAGCGCGAGAACGTGCGAAGTCGAAGCAAGCGCTGCTGGAGATGATGCCGAGGAAGAGGTCCTCGAGAGTGGCAGAGAAGGAGGAGAGAGAGAAGCTGGAGGAAGAGGAGCGACAGCGCAAGGCGCAGGAGATGGAGCTGATGAGGCTGGAGCAAGAGAAGAAAAAGAAAGAGAGGGAAAGAGAAATGAGGTTGAAGGAACGGCAGGAACAGATTGAACAGAAGATACGAGACGACGAACGTGCTCGTCTGCTAAATGAAGCAGAAAGAGAAAGACGGTGAGCGCTCATCGTCTGTTGCTTGTCTGTCCTCTACCCTGCCCCGCCTTTTTCTCAGCAAAAGTATCTTCATCCTCCTCTCTCTCATTCTCTGTGCTTGTTGTGTACAGTTCCTATCTTCTGTCAGCACAAAAAGAGCCTTTACTTTCTCCAACGTCTTTCCTGCCTCTTGTTGACCATGCAACTAGGCTGCGTAAGCGTCGGCGGCTGCTGCAGAAGGAGCTCTTGCAGAAAGGAGAGTCGGGAGAGGAGGACAGGAACTCTTCGCAACCTGTGCGAGCCAGTGGCAGGATTGCAGAGGGAAGGCAGGGCAACTGGTGGGAGACAGGCAACAAGGTGGAGATCCTCTGCGATGGCGACTGGTGGCAGGCCATCGTACTCAACACTAGGACAGGGATGGGCCCTCGGGATGTGGAGATGTATATAGGATACGTGGGAGGAACTGAGGAGGACAACGAGTGGGTCCCCGTCAAGAGCCATCGAGCTCGTCCTCCTTCTAAGAATTGGGACAAGGACGACGACGACAGCTTTGACCTGGAGGACGACGACGACGACGAAGGAGAGGACGAGGACGATGATGAGATGGAACAGGAGAGGAAGCTCGAGTCGAACGGCAAAGAGAGTGAGGAGGGATCGAGAGCATCAGGCTCTGTGTACCACCAGGAGGAGGAGGCAAAGGGCAGCAGCAGGCGGGAGGACGCCATGGCTGCGGTCAATCCCATGGAGGGGGGGAGGAATTTTCTTCGGATCAACCTGACTAACACGGCGCCTGAGGAGGGGAATCCTCCTACCCATAGGGACGATGACTTCGTGCTGGGAACGTCGACGGTGCTGGAGGGGTCCAGCAATACTCTCAGGATCTCGAGACACGCTGACAATGATGCCAAGGAGGTGGAGGAAGGGAAGGCGGACGAAACGAGGGAAGAGGGGGAGAGAGGTCCTCGGGCTGACGGTCGTATCAACGGGAACTGCTCGCCCTACACGTCCGTTTCTTCCCTCCTGTCTGGCAGCGATTACCCGACGTCCGGAGCTCCGCAGTGATTGATACCTTTGACTTGCATCGAATGCCCTGGTACTATATACTACCCTCCTCCCTCTCCTCTCCTCCTCCTCCTCCTCGACCTTCGCTTCCTACCTCTCCCCTCCCTTCCCTCTTTCAGCGATTTCCGCTTCTTCTGTATCATCACCTCGAAAGCTCTTCGTTTCGCTCCTCGCAGTTCATCTCGTGCCAACTTTCTTCCTAGCCCTCACTGAGCTTAATCTTGACAGCTACAGGTGAAGCAGCAGAGGAGGCGCATACTTTACGTTTGGTTTGCATGAAATTTCAATGATTTGTTCTCAACGAGCTGAGATCTCCGAGCTTCTTCTCCGCCTCCTTCAGTCGATGTGTGAGCTGGAGGTTAGCTCGTTCAAGTCTTCGTTTCTGAGAGAGAAGTAAGGAGAGCAGGAGAGCAGGAGGTAGAAAAAAAGCATTTCAAGGGCGGGAGAAGGGGGGGAAATCGTGGCAGGGCAACGGGTGGGGACCGCCGGTGCGAGGGGAGGAGTGACAAAGACTGATGCGGAACGAGGGAGGGATCAAGGCGGGGAGGAGGGGAGACTACCTGGTTCTGCAGCTCTAGCACTTGAAAGCTCTTCTCCGCGTGAGATGTCGAAGTGCTGATGACCATGGCGGTGATACGCTGAAGCTCTTTCTCCGTAGCCTTGAGGTCAGAGGAGGAGGAGGAGGAGGAGGAGATGGCTTGTCTCTGCTCAAGCCCATGCATCCTCCTCAACATGGTGAGTTCTTGCTCTAGCTTAGCTTTCGCTTCCTGCATGTCAGATCAGATTCCAATCTCCTCTCACTCTCTACCTACATCGATCTTCTCTGCCCAGCCCTGGTACTTGCTCGACTTCGCCTTCTCCTCCTCGATTGCCTTCTGCAGCTTCACATGCAAGCTTTCCTTCCGCTTGACCGGCAAGGAGACTTTGCTCCCTCCTTCTGCCTGCCTGCCGTGTCCTTCCGCATCTTCCTCCAGCTGCCGCGTCAACACACTCCTCATCGTCTTGAGCTTCTCAAGATGCTCGCGCCATCGGCGAGCCTCCCTCTGAAGCATCTGGTGGACAGCAGCTTCGTTTGTCTTCGGGGCCTCCTTAAAGCTTCTGCTGCCTTCCGTCAACCTGTCTCGATCCAGTCGCAGCATGTCCACATAATCCAGAACACGCTTCTGCCGCAGAGTGTCATCAGGGGAGAACATGACCGCTGCGGCACGTACCTTCCTCCTCTCCAGCAGGTTTCTCCGCGTTCCTTCCAGGCAGAGCTGCACGTCGATCCTGTCCATCTCGTCTGTCTTCACCTGCAGCGCGTCCTCTGCTTCCTTGATCTTGCCTCGCGCCTCCTCGATCTGCGACATCATCGCTCCCCGAGTCGCCGAGTAGGTCGGGTCGCTGCTTGACGGCACCTCGTTCCCGATGCCGTAAGAACGTTCGCTCAGTTCGTCACTATGCCCCTTCCTGTGGTGAATTTGCTGTCTGCCATCACTCCCCATTTCCTGATTATCACCTCCTTCCTCCTCCTCTCCATCCCCGCCCTCCTCCCTGCCATCAACTTCTCCACTAGCTACGCTCGCTGTTTCAGATAGCGTGTATGCGCTCCTTTCAGATACCGTGTCACTGTCGTCTCGTCCTCTCTTCGATGATTGACAAGAGATCCTCAAAGTCAGCCAGACAGGTTTGCTACATCCTTTCACTTGCATGGAAACTTTCGTCTCCTGCTCGCTTTGCAGCACGTATTCGGCAAGGTTCAATATGGCTGACCCAATCCGCTGCATCTCTCTTCAATACGAGGAGCAAGAGATGTAAGTGTACCTTTTCTCTTTGAAGGAAAGAGGAGTGATTCACCCTGATCAGGGAGATCTTGTATACCTTCTCAGCAAAGTCTCTCCCATTCGCTGAGCGTTCGAGCTTGGTCCTCAGCAAGATCCTACTGGCCCTGGAGTCAAGTCAGGCATGGCTAATGATGAACCCATCACGCAGTATCTCTCTTGCAGCATGCTCACCTGTAGTCGGGGACCGTGAACTCCTCGCTCTTCACAACCTTCGTTCCTCGGGACATCTCAACCCTTAGCAACATCTTCTTCCCTCCATTCTTCTGCTCCTTACTCTTGTCCTTGGAAGAAGTTACCTTCGACCTCCCATCCTCCTCTTCTTCTGCCTCGCTTCCCGCTTCCTCCAGCCCTTGGATCTTCGTCGTATCTACCTTGAGCTCGTATCTGATCCTTTCCCTCGCCATTCCTCCAGCTTTCCGGGCCTGGGACTCACCACCCCCCACCAGGACCCCTCCGTACAAATGATATCCCCCAATCATCGGATAACCCCACCTTCTCCTTTCCTCTTTGTACCCCACCTTTTAACAAACTTTTCCCCTATCTAATACCCCCATACCCACCCTTGGTAGGAATACCCCTGAGTAGCCCTCAACTTTCAAGATTAACGCAAACTCAGTTTCGGGGCGGGGGCCGTGCAGCCCGGAAGCCGTTCCCCGGCGTACTCACTGTGACCGTACGGTAGGGCGGCCCGGTTCCAGCGGCGGCCGCCGGGCCGGGCCGCTCCGCCGGGGCCCCGGGCCGCGGCACCGTGCCGGCTGCGGGCGCACCGCCACTGAGTAAAAGCTCCGATCCGGAAGGCCCGGCCGCTGCCGGCGAGCCGTCACGGCGGGTCCAATCATTGAATGCGCCGGGGGCCGTGTGACCCTCCCGGTCCGGCCCGGCCGGATTTCCCCCGGACCCGGGCCCCGAGCCGCCTGGCTCAATCATGTGAGGTCCGCGAACGGTTCACTGAATTTGCGGCAAGTTAGTAAGCCTGCCCCGGGTTCAACGGTTTCAAGCTCCGTCGGGCAGCGCCACCGTAACCGTTGAAGATCGCGACGGCGCCGGGGGACTTGGATCGCGACTCGTGACGATCGGAGTTCACCCATGATGATATTTTATGAATGATTAGAGAGCCGGGCCCGCCGCAGCACTCAACAAGTTCACTCAAGTTACTAGTCAGGCAGTACTTGCAGCTCCTGTGACTCGGTCATTTCATATCAGCATGTTATGAGCCTCATTCATCCCCATCATCGCCGTCGTCCCCGCCATACATCCCTGCTCATGGCATCGCAGAGTCAACAGCCGCGAGGAGGAGGAGGAGGAGGAGGAGGAGGAGGAGGAGGAGAGCATACCGGCGATCCGAACCTTGGGCGCCACGTCAGGGAGAGGGATCTGAAATTTCTTGATGCTCTTGACTTGCGCCCTTGTGGGGTTAGGCTCGACCTCGAAGTCTCTCTGCGAGTGGTTGAGGGAGGGTAGAAGACTCTCACTGCCACCTGCTCCACTATCTTCGGCTCCAGGACTCGCTGGCTGGAGGAGGAGGCTGGTAACTTGACCGTCACAGCAGGCAACAACGGCAAGAATGAGCAGAGACCTGCTGGCGACGAAGACGCGTCCCCTCCCTCGCTCCTCTGCTCTTCCTCCCCCTCTTCTGACAGGCCCTTCTTGAAGATCCCCCCAAAGGCCTTCTTTGCTTTCCTTCTTGCCTGATTTCCCAAAGCTCAGGCTGCGAGTGGGGGAGAAGAGAAAGAGGAAACGGAGAAGGTAGTGGGTGAGTTAGAGAGGAGGAAGAATAGGTGATGGTGCAAAGTGGTGATGGTGCAAATGCTGTTGGAGGAGAGAGGACAGGAACGAGGAAACAGACTGAGAGAAATGACCCTGACCTCGTCTTCCATCTTTTGCAGTTTCGCCATCTCTCTCTTCGCCTCCGCATTGTCCGGGGAGATTTGGAGGAGTTGCTGAAGATCATTCCTGGCCTGGCAAGAACCTCAGCAAGGGGAGGGCAAGAGAAGTAGCGGGGAGGTGAAAGACAGGAGGAAAGCAGGGCAGTCGAGGAGCTGGCAGGCTGAGAGAGGGGCAGGAAGAGGGAACGCGATGAATGAAGAGCAGAGGGCGGAGAAGGAGGAAGAGGAAGAGGAAGAGGAAGAGGAAGAGGAAGAGGAAGAGGAGATAGCAGGGAAGAGGTACCAAGTCAAAGTCAGCCTTGGCTGCATGCGCCTGTGCCCGCCGGTAGAAAGCTTTCTCACAACGAGGTTGGAGATCTAGAGCCTGATCGCAGGCGTCGATGACTCCCCGCATGTCTCCGAGCTTGAACCTGCAGCATGTCGCAGCCAAGAGAGGAAGAAATCAGCAAGCAGAGCAGGGGGGAGGGGACAGGAACAGACTTGCAAGCAGCGATGTTGAGCAAGCTCGGCAACTGCAGCTCCAACTTGAGAGCCTTCTCGTCCTGAGAACGTTCCCATCATGTCAAAGTGAAACAATGCGTCAAGGTGGATGGACAGCATAATCCTCTCAATTATCATGGCGTAAAGTCAGCATGATTCATCATTCACATCATCACCGTGCCTGTCCTCTCTCCTCAACTGCTCCCTCCATCCTTCCATCCTCTCAGGATATTCAGCACGTATTGGTTCAAACCTCTGTATCTGGGGCATTCTGCGCATGAGCGACAGCATTTGCTACGTTATGAATCTTGTGGCCTGAAGGAAACGCGTTACTTCACTTGTAATAAAACAACAGGAATACGATTCTCCGACTGATATCATTATTCGACATGTTCACAACCAATGTACTGCCCCTGAGACCTCACCAGCAATCTCAGCTGCCTCTCGTTGAGCCTTCGCCGCTTGCGATGGCCGCTGAGGAGAATATTAGAGCAATAGGTGCAGGGTAGTTGAGGAGGTAGATGTAGCGGGAAGGGGAGGATGACGAAGAGGAAAGGAAGGGGAAAGAGGGGAGGCGAGGCCAACCAAGACCAAAAAACGATTATCTGTGCGTGTTCTCACCTGCGGCATCTTCATGAAGTATCCTGTCTTACTGACCAGTGGCTGAAAGATCGGAGGGGATGAGAACGTTGGCAATGACACGCGGTCAACTCACGTCATAGAGCTTCAGAGCCCTCCTGTACTTCTCTTGCTTGAAGAACTCATTCCCCCTCATTCTTTTGCGCAATCCTTCTCGTTGCTGCTGCCTGTCAACTCCAACACTTCCCATCGACGTTTGATCCTCACCTTCTCTTCATACGACAAGTTCCAGTGCTCCAAACCTTTCCCGATAGAGATCTACAGCGACGAGTGAGCATGCCAGCAAGTCCAGCAAGAACAAGCGAGACCAGCTGAATTTCAAAGATAAGAGCACAATCCCCCGGCAGTCCTTCGCAAGGAGGTTGGCCGTCATGGGCCGCAAACCCGTAGTCCTCCCGGATCTTTCAAAGTTTACGATCAACAGAGAGATAGGAGAGAAAGACGTGTAGAAGGAGCGGAGATGAAGGTGAGAGAAGAAAGCAGCACAACGACTTACAGTAAACACCGAGTGCTCTCCTTGCTTCATTGACATCAGAGCATCTTCAAGTCCTTCGCATGTCTCGCCAAAACTGCGGAACTTCAACTCTGCTGCAATGTCGATGATGATAAGACTCACCCAGCAATGATGCTGGCAGGTTTTCCCTGAGCGACAGACCTCAGATGGCAATCAAAGTGGCATTTCTTTCTTACTGACTCCCATGTTGAGAAGTACACTGCAGAATCGTTCTCTCTGATAACACAGCGTGCTGGTAAGCAAGAGGGAAGTGGGAGGGGAGCAGGAGTAGATAGGGAAGGAGGAGTAACAGGAGCAAGACGTGTCACCTTGACTTCTTGGCAGCCTCTGCATCCTCAAGAGCTCGCTGCGCTTGAGGAGGAACGCTGTCGATGATGTCGCCCTGCACAGGCTTGAGCCGAGCAACACAGCACGCGGCTCTACGTCGTCGGAGATGACCAGTTGGTCCCACTTGTCGTAACTCAGGCAGTCGTTTCTCTTGTTGGCATGTTGATGCTGATGCAATTCTCCTTCTGACGTTTTCTCCCTAACCCTCCCGCCCTGCCGCCGGCCTCAGCCACATGTAGACTCCCTCTTGACAAGACACCAACCGGGATCAGCTTGTTCATGATCCGAAAGTGGAAAGCCAGGTTTGCACCATCAGTCCCCTTCTCATATCCCTGCCCTTCTGACATCTTGTGCTTCACGACTCCACCATCTCCGTTGACATCTTCATCCCTTCCTATCACCGCAAGTTTGATCTGCAACAGATTTTACTTCAGCAAGACACATCTGCAACAACGCTTCTGACAGTCCTTGCTCACTCTACCTCTAGCTCGACAGCTCCATCACCCCAGAAGGGTTTGTTCCCGTGCTTGTCCATGATCGGCTCGTACACCTTGAAGGAAGCCTTCTCGTTCAACACCATCTGACGTAGAGCGCGTAAAACACTTGAGTTATCCATAATGCAAGCACCTGTTCCACGAGCTTTTTCAGCAGCGCACCTGCCCTCCAGGTCCCGTTCGTCTCCATCTGCACATCTCATCATCGCAAACAACAATTTGGGCAGGGAGACGTCAATAGGAGCATGTACCTTGGCAACATGGTGCTTCATGTAAAGCTCCAGCGTGTTGTCTTGGAAGTAACTGTCTCGCACGTTTCCCTCTAGATCCTTCACGACGAGGTTGATCCTGACATAATCTTCTTCCTTTGCTACCACGTTGCTCTCGCTCTCCTCTACAACTTCCTTCTCGATGGGCTTGCATGAGTTCAGAACCTAATCAAGTGAGTTATAAAGTCCTGCCATACATCTGAAACGCATTGCTGCCCCCCTGCTCCCTCGCTTCTCCTCCTTCCTCCTCTTCCTTTCTCCTTCCTCCTCTTCTCTCCCATCTATCTTTCTTTGCCACACCTCTATCTCGAACTCCAAGGTTGCATCAGGAGGTATCTTGGGCGGCATTCCTTTCTTGCCATACCCCAGCTCTGGGTCGATGACGAGCCTCGCCGTCTCCCCGACTTTCATCATCGGCAGTCCACGTTCCCATCCCTTGATCACTCCTCCAGCACCTAGCACAAAGTTGAACTCCTTCTCCCTCGCCCTGCTCGAGTCGAAGACGTGCCCGCCATGAACGCGCCCGACGTAGTGCACAGACACCTCGTCCCCAACGCAGACTTGCCGAGCTCTGAGAGGTGGCGTGAGGAGCAGGAGAAGCAACCATGGAACATTACTGGGAGGGAGCCGCCTTGATGACAACTTTCTCTACTCCTTTGTTGGACCCCATGGCCGATGCCTCTTCGCCTGCGCTAGTATGGAGGACGATGAGACGTTAGCAGATTACAGAGGATGTAATGTTGATCAACGAAGAACACATACGCAGCAAGAAAGCATGTATTGTCACATATTAAGCACGACAAGTCCTTCACAACCAAAGCAGGAAATAGGTTAGGGCTGCAAGACAAGTTTCTAGCATACAAGATCACAGCATATGTGGGTAGCAAACAAGATCACAGCATATGTGAGTAGCAAACAAGATCACAGCATATGTGGGTAGCAAACAAGATCACAGCATATGTGGGTAGCAAACAAGATCACAGCATATGTGGGTAGCAAACAAGATCACAGCATATGTGGGTAGCAAACAAGATCACAGCATATGTGAGTAGCAAACAAGATCACAGCATATGTGGGTAGCAAACAAGATCACAGCATATGTGGGTAGCAAACAAGATCACAGCATATGTGAGTAGCAAACAAGATCACAGCATATGTGAGTAGCAAACAAGATCACAGCATATGTGGGTAGCAAACAAGATCACAGCATATGTGGGTAGCAAACAAGATCACAGCATATGTGGGTAGCAAACAAGATCACAGCATATGTGGGTAGCAAACAAGATCACAGCATATGTGGGTAGCAAACAAGATCACAGCATATGTGGGTAGCAAACAAGATCACAGCATATGTGGGTAGCAAACAAGATCACAGCATATGTGGGTAGCAAACAAGATCACAGCGTATGTGGGTAGCAAACAAGATCACAGCGTATGTGGGTAGCAAACAAGGCAAGAAGGTTCTGACGATCTTCTCCGCACATGCCTTCGTGCAGGACATACAAGAATGAGATACTGATCGAGCTAAGTTAGTAAAAGATCCGAAAAAACTCCGCCAGCTAGTAATGATATCTGCTCAGGCCAACAAAATCATCAGACCTGACCCTGCAGTATAGCCCCCAGGCTTGAGTTTTTATTAAGTAAACCAAAAGGAAATCGACCATACCCTCTCACCCTACTACACTGTGAAGGGAAGCCTCCTCCCCCACCTGCTAACTAGTGAACAAGGCTAGCATGGCGTCTTCACAGGGATCTCGACACTACATCCTAGTCGACGGCAAGGCCGTCGCTAACAGAGGCCTGAGGGTGAGAGATGATGATGATAGAAATGATGATGGAGATGATGACGATAGAGATGATGACGATGGAGATGATGATGAAGTTGATGGAGATGATGATGGAGATGATGATGGAGATGGAGATGTAGATGACGATAGAGATGATGATGATGATGGAGATGATGATGATGATGATGGAGATGATGATGACGATGACGATGATGGAGATGATGATGATGATGATGATGATGATGACGATGATGATGCTCTTTAGATCAGTCCCTTCCAGCATGATGCCCTGACCGCATCCTCAGATCCCTCCCAAGAAGCCTGCTGCTCCTAGCAGGAGAATCAAGCTCGGGTCTGCTCGTCCTGTCGAGGAGTACAAGCCCAGGCACGACATTCCGGACCGGATGGATCTTCGTAGGACTGCTCGTGCTGCTCGAGCATGCTTCACGCCTCTAAGCGGAGGCTCATGGCAGGGAGATGGATGACGGACGTGGAGTATCAGGGAGTGACCAACTCGTGAGGGACCTGCTTGCTTCATGGCCTGTGCTGATCCCTCGCAGCTGCTGCGCCAACGCCGTGGCCGGAGCGTACGAGTATCTGTGCAAGCGACAAGCAGAAAAGACTGGGGACACGGTAGGAGACATCTCAAGGTAAGGGCGTGAGCCTTTCAAGGGCGTTGAGAAAGGAGAGAAGGTAGTATGGAGAGGTAGAAGAGAACGCACAATAGTCGTGCGAGGGAGGAGCGAGCAAGACGGAGAGCGAGAAAAGCAGAAACAAGAGGTGGGGGGGCGGGAGGGGGATGAGGAGCAAGGCTACGAGGAGGAGCGAGGAGGGCATGACGCGCTTTCCTAGGCTTTTCATCTATTACGTTGGACGTCTCGCGGATGCAGCCAGTGCGCATCTCGCTTGCCTCGTCTCGTCGGCGCGTGACGTGACTTTCAGTGTTCAACGAGGAGCACCTGCCGCTGGAGGACGGCGGCATGACGGCATGTGGCGGCGGAGGGAGGCGAGAGAAGTGACGGCGATGATGGGCAGGTCGACGGTGCGATCAAGGCGCTGCAGGCAAGCATGCGACGCGAGAGGAGAAAGAGAGAGGAGGGATGACAGGCGTGACGGCAGAGCAAGGGAGCGTGCCTTGAGAAGAACTGGGACTTTGATGAGGGAAGGTGAACCACAAGCCGCATGATCACTGCTTCGAGGAGGTGCTGGCTTTACTGCTCGCGTCTGTCGCTTGAGCAGAGGATACTGAGCTGCTGCTGGCAGGCGCTGAGGTACAAGATCCGCGATGCCATGAAAGTGCCGCTCGACCTTCAGACCATGAAGGCAAGCCAATGGGAGGGGGACAGGAGGAGACAGAAGGAATAAGAGGAGGAAGAGGGTCGGGCATGGACATAAGGCTGGGAGAGGGGGATGGAGGGTCTCATGGGCGTATGCAGACTTGCTTGTCGGACGGTTTTCCGATAGTGTTTGGGCTGCGGTTGACCGAGAGCTTCTTGAAGCCGGCGAAGAAGTTGTCTCCCCTCGTCACTGCTCGCCCTTACTGAAGGTGCCGCTGCCAACAGCGGGTACGTTCCCAAGCCCGACAGCAGCGACCCGGAGGCCTCCGAGCACGGCACGCATGCGCTGCTGCTAGTCGGGTAGAAGAGGCGCCGCCTCGTGGGAGGAGGGGGCGAACGTGATGGGGTGGCAGCTACTCCGACCCCGACCAGTGCTTCATCGTGAGGAACAGCTGGGGCAGGCAAGGAGACGCTGAGGCTGAGCGGGGAGCGAGCTGACGGCTTGGTGGCAGCACGTGGGCGGACGGCGGGTACTGCTACGTGGCGTATGACTACGTGTGCAACCCGGACTACAACCTGGTGGAGTACGTCGGGCAATGTGAGACTCGGGTGCTGGGATGTGGGGGACGAGGTGGGGAGGAGGAGAGGGCCTGGAGGGTAACGAGGAGCTCAGGGGCGATCCGAGGCCTGGACGACTATGACTTCACTCCTGAAGACGGTTGAGAGGCGCCGGCGAAGCCTTGTAGGAGGAGGAGGTGACGTTTACTTGCAGGGGTGCCCAACCAGGAGCACATCGTGGACAGATCCAAGGTGATGCTCGGGGCAGCTTGCGGGGGCTTGCTTGCTGTCTTGGCGTTGCTCGATGCTCTGCTTGTCGCGTGCAGCTCGCGGGCTTGTGACATGATGGGTGCAGGGCGACGAGCAGGAGAAGCCGCAGATTGAGGCAGAAGCAGCAGGCGGGGAGGAGGGAGGGAGCTGATGGGGGGCTGGCAGGTGCGGGAGAAGGAGATGCATCCTGTTGAGGGAGGTCAGGAGTGTTGCCTGAACTCAAAGCCAATCTTAGTACCCTGCTTAGGTCAGGAGTCGGGAGACCTTTTTGACATCATTGCTGAAGCTCGTGAGGGCGGATGGAGGTAGGAGGAGGGAGTTGAAGTGCGTGTGGTAGGACGAGTCTTCAAGGCGATCGACACAGACGGGTCAGGTTTCATAGAGCTCGGGGTAAGCTGCTTCCTTTGTTGATCGCTGCCAACATTCTCTCCCCGTTCCATCCTGATCCTCCTCGGCGTTGCATGGGCATGTGAGGCCCTGGTGTATTCTTGGTCTCACTTTGGCCTCAGGAGCTCAAGACCGCATATCGCCTGGTGATGTTGAGGGCAGCAGGGGAGGAAAGAAAGGCTGACGACGTTGCAGCAAGGAGTTTACATCACTGACGCTCAGCTGAAAGCTGTGCTCAAGATTGTAAGTCATGATGTAGAGAAATGATGCATAGAAGGGTTTTTCAGTTAGATGGCAATGATACATTGGAGGTTTATAATGCCTCAGGCTATTTCGAGCGATGGATTCATGACAGGTGCTTGTGCAGTATGACACGTCAGGAGACGGCAAGATTGACTTCGATGAATATTGTGTGGTATGAAAATCGATGGCACAAGCTGTGCAGTGATGTTTATGCCGAAGATGGTTGGGATCAAAGACAAGGCTGGAAACATCATTCAAGCATTGACATGATTCTTTACTTTGTATTTTTCTTGCCCAGATTGGAATCGGAGTCAAGACACAATGATTTCTTGGCAAAAGCAGTGGAAGTCAGTCGTGCCTTGATGCAGCAACTTTGGAGCAGGAAGATGCATGCATCAGAGCTCGGCCCTCAGCACATGTTTATGACCGTGATGATTGATTGGTGATTCAGACAGATTCAATCGGCAGTGCAAGCATCAGCTCTCCCAACCTTGACAGTGCTGTACTTGACTTGGGTTCTATCAAAGGGATTATGCAACGTAGCAAGCAGATTAGCGACAGGCATTTAAATTTATCTTTTCCAGGTTATCAAATGAATTACTAATACAACATACATGTCAGCATCTTGAAATGAGCCAAAGGAAACTGCTGACACAGACGGATGAATATCTTCCATGATGCACGATACCGATACATCCTTAACTTGAGTCTGAAATATCTCCCTCTCTATCTTCCAATTTTCGTCAATCTCCTCACCAAAGCTCTGCATCCTCGCTCGCCGACACGAACCATCCGATCCATGCCGGATCCAGCCCTCCTACCGCATGGTCCTCTCCAATGCCCTCCTCCGCCTGTTCCATGTCTTGCGATTTTTCATCCACTCGCTCACAACGAGTTTCTGCTCGCTCGTACGGCCAGCGCGCTACCCCCAGCCGCCGGCATGCGCTCTTGAACGCCGTCAGCGAGATCCCCTGCAAAACATCCCTCGTCATACCTCCCTCCTCCTCCCTCTCCCTCCTCCTCCTCCTCCTGGCTTACCAGCGACGAGGCCGCCCGAGCCTGGGGGAGGTGGAACAAGCTCTCCAGGGTGGAGTAGGCGAGGCTGACGCCGCGAGTACCTTTATCGCCAGGGAGGGAGGGCTGGAAGCGCTTTCTTCGGGGATGGACGCGAACAGTAGTAGTGGTGGGCATACTTGTACAAGATGGTTCTGAAAAGAGGAGTAAGCGATGATTCGTTTGGACACAGATCTTTGTGATAGATCACTTTCTTTTGTGTGTGCAATAGCCGGGCTAATGAACAATTGTGGTTACAAGAGACAAGTTTTCAACTAATGAATCAAGGAGGAAAAAGCAAGGACAGAAATAAACAAAGTGGACGGATGCATGGAGACTGAGCTGAAAGTGGAGGAGACCATGGGTGAAGGTACACAAGGAAGCATGTCAGGGGATTTCAGTGGCGGCGGAGCAACGGGAGGTGAAGAAAAGCGGGACAAGAGGGTGAAAGTGAAGCGAGCCAAGTTGAGCTCCCCTGATCATTTTGGTCCCTTCCGGGAGCAGGGAGGACAGGGGGTGAGGGTACATGCTGAAATCTGCAGGGTTAAATCTAGCCACCCCTCCTGGTACATGTCGAAACCAGGGGTAGTGGGTTTCCTCTTGCAGGTGTAGATGCGAGGAGAAGATATTCCATGCCTCGTCAGCCCTCATTGCCTCGCCAATACTGAAAGGGGGGGTACTGTTCTCAGATGTGTGAAGGTGAAACTAGGGGTATGTTGAATGAGGGGTCATGGATAAAGAGGGTAGGGGTGCTAAAACTGCCACAAGGGGTGCATCTTTTATCACGCGCTAGGTGCAACAGGGGCGAGGTGAGTTCCTATGGGAAAACGAGGGTGGTACCCTTAGAAAAGCAGGCTGAGGAGCCTACGGCTTTGAGAACTGAGCTCACTTAACATAACTGAGGCCTTCAGCGTCCACAGCTACGACTACAAAGGGGGTCACATTCAACTAGTCGTTCGATCAACCGGAGATAAGTTGAATTGGTCCGCTCAAATTTCAAATGCAGAGGGATTTCTTTGGTGTAAACCAACAGGTTTAAAGCGTCCCTGGCGTTCATCGCAGGGGCGCCGGAGATCTCCCTTAGGGCCACGTGGAGTCATCCGATGATCGAAAACGCACAAAGATGCGTCTCTCCGACTTTTTGGCCATGTGACACAGAAATTAACTTTTCCGAGGTAGTCCCAAGTAGACAAGGTAAACCTTCAGCGCAAGGTGAAGTACTAATGTTCAATGAATTAAAATACGTCAAGCATCATAGATATATGGATCAACGGTGTGGTTTTCTATGCCATTGCTCAAAATCAGCCATCACCACTGTTGGCACGTATCAAGAACAAGGAAGCAAACTAGGCGTTGATGGTAATGGCCTAATTGAACTAATAATAAGCTTGAAACACATTGCAGTCTCGTCACTCCAATCCTTCACATTCTGACGCCAACATGAACCATCCGATCCATGCCGGATCCAGCCCTGGCCCGCCTTCTTTGATGTGCCCGAGTTCCAATCGCTCGTACGGCCAGCGCGCTACCCCCAGCCGCCGGCATGCGCTCTTCAACGCCGTCAGCGAGATCCCCTGCACAACATCCCTCGTCATACCTCCCTCCTCCCTCCTCCTCCCTCTTCCTCCTCCTCCCAATGGCTTACCAGCGACGAGGCCGCCCGAGCCTGGGGGAGGTGGAACAAGCTCTCCAGGGTGGAGTAGGCGAGGCTGACGCCGCGAGTACCTTTATCGCCAGGGAGGGAGGGCTGGAAGCGCTTTCTTCGAGGATGGACGCGAACAGTAGTAGTGGTAGTCATCAGTCAGGTAATGATTGATCTCGTTTTGTGTTGTGCTGATATCACTGCAGGTACTTCACGATGTGATCAATCACGATGTGCTTGTTCGCCTGAGTTATCAAGGAGGAGGGGGAGGGGGAGGGAGGGGGTAGAAAGTGCGTCGCTAAGACGGTTTGAAACCGAAACTAGACCTTTTCGATCTTCGCTTCGAACACATGCACCACGTGACATTTGACTGAAAGAGAGGCTCGGCAAAGCCCGAAGGTGAAGGAACAGTTGCAAGAGTTTCATAGATGCACCGATAACAATAAATCTGTGAATGAGAGCAGAAATTAATGGTAACGACAGCTTGTTCCGGCTTTTCTTGTTTGTATGTTTCTTCGAAACACTCTATGCTAAAGGATAATTACCTTGTTGAATGTCTGGTTGAGGCATTACTCGATCTTTATCTAATCATTAGGCTAAATCAAATTAACTAATGTGGTAATATACAAAACCTCCAGCAAAGCTGGATGACTCAAATATGTTACAGAACCAATCACTGTGCTAGGCAAGTTGCACACAAAACAAAGGTGCAAATCAAGCATCATCGAAGCTCATTCAAGCCCTGCATTCCCGCTCGCCGACACGAACCATCCGATCCACGCCGGATCCAGCCCTCTTTTCTCAAGGACGCCTTCGCAGCTCTCGAGTACATCCGTCTCACTTTCATCAGCTGGTTTTACCCGATCCTTTATCCCTCCTTGTTTGTATCGAGCCTCCCGCTCGTACGGCCAGCGCGCTACCCCCAGCCGCCGGCATGCGCTCTTCAACGCCGTCAGCGAGATCCCCTGCACAACATCCCTCGTCATACCTCCCTCCTCCTCCTCCTCCTCCTCCTCCTCCTCCTCCTCCTCCTCCTCCTCCTCCTGGCTTACCAGCGACGAGGCCGCCCGAGCCTGGGGGAGGTGGAACAAGCTCTCCAGGGTGGAGTAGGCGAGGCTGACGCCGCGAGTACCTTTATCGCCAGGGAGGGAGGGCTGGAAGCGCTTCCTTCGAGGGTGAATTTGTACAGCGAGGCTCATGATAAGTTTGTCGTTGGTGCAAGCAGTTGGTTCACAATAGCGTTTACGACAAGGCAAGGGGTCGAGATTCAATGTTGTGTCGATTTGAGCAAGAGAATTAGCAATCCAGAAAGCAAAGCGAGTGATAAGAGAGGCAATGTAAGCGCGAGGGCTTGCTGTTGCGGTGTCTGAGTTCGCTGGGGGAGAAGAGGATGTTTGTTAAGAGGTTGTAATGGAAACGTTGCAAGTTGCGCTTGTCATTATTGCCTATAAAGGGGTAGGGTGGGTCCCCCTATCCAAAGCGTCGCTAGGTGGGAAAGGCGAAGGCCCTCAGGTACTTGTGGTGGAGGCTCAACCCCATTGAGGAATACGTGACCTTCAATCCCAGCCATTGCGACTGCCTCCCCCGAACCTTCTCCCCAAATATTTTACTCAATTGGGGATCTTGCGACTGTGGGGACCATAATAGTCAGAGGCTCGCGAAGGGCAGAGCCTGAGTGATAAAATTTGGCAGGCAAACTTGGCAAAAGTGAACATGTTCGTCAGCACTGAGCAGTTGTGTACCCGAGGTCAGCATTTCGGAGTAGAGCTTTGTAAAGTATAGGGTATGAAATGGCGTGCTTTCGCTCTTACCCGATCGGACCACAGGATCAAAGTTTGCTCCTGCACGCTGACATAGGTCGGAGGCTTGCATGCCATGTCCTGGTACTGAGGCAGTACAGATTTTGCCACCTCAACTTTCAATCGGAATGATTGTGTGCGGACGTGCTTACACACGACTGACTCGTGTGACCGTGACGAGTCACTGTCATCCTCGCTGACCCGGCGCGGCAGCGCCGCCTCTCGTCTTCCGAGGGCCCGGCCATGAGATCCCGGGCGGGGCCGGAGTAGCGCCCCGGTGATCATCTGATGACTCGGCGTACCGGCAGTGAGCGGCCGGGCCGCCCGCGATCCGATCGGCGCGGGGGCCGGGCCCGCCCGGCCCGCCGGGCCGGCCATCCCGGAGTCCGAGGTCCAATCTGAGCCAACCGGCCTCGGGCCACCGTCTGTGATAAGTGAAGTCGCTGAGTCGGGGATCCGGGGGCCCGGGGCCGGGGAGCCTACGGACGCCGTCCGGAGCCTGGAGTCCGACGTGACCGTGTGACTTGAAACATCGTCCGGGCCCCGAGCGTGGCACGGTGCCGAAATCGGATGGCACTCCTGAAGTCAGAACAACGTCAGTCGCCTGACAGAGTCGGTTGTTTGAATGTTGCACTCACAAGCTAACTGCGGCGCTGGGAAGCCTGCCACAAGTTCAACCAGTGCAGGCTCGCTGAACCTTCAAAAGAGGAAAGCACAGCAGCTCAATCATATTGGGCCCCAGTACCGTGACGCACTTGTGTTTCTTCGATTGTGCCTTTTGCGATGTGTCACTAACACACCGAAGCTTTACGGTTTGACTCGTCTACAGTGAATTCTCATCAAGCCTCTTATGGACTTTCTCACGGCGGATGATGAGACACTGACTTCCAACACGACTTCGAAGAAGTGTCCTTAGGACTCGACGAATGAGACCTACCTAGCCTGTTACAGCTCAATGGACGAGTATGCTCTATGTTGCCGAGGAAAGGAGCAGTTCGACACATCTGACAAAGAAGCACAGCAGTGTAAGATGAATCGAAGAGAAAAGACGGAGCATTCTGTCTGGAAACGGAAAATTCTGTCGGCAAATCGAAGTATTATAGGAGCTACATCATACTTGGTTCCTCGCTGTAAATTTGCCCCTTTTCTGTCGAAATTCACCTTTCGAGGCTTCATCAGCATTCGTGAACCCGCATGGCAATAGCAGGCTGGAATGTAGCCACGCAAGCCGCTGGCGTGAATGGTAGTTTATAAGCTTAATGGTCCATATCGTTTTCCTTCAACCACAATACTGAAACCCTAAACTTTTGCCAGGTGCAACACAGCATACATGTAAGAATGAGCTAAAGAACAAGGGTCGAATGGTGAGCTGACATTCGCTTCGGATCTGGCTTTTAAATTGAAATCCGGTAACATGTGCGTTCCATTCGCAACAACAATCAATCAAGTCCTTCACCCCCCCTTGCCTTCACAAACCATCCGATCCACGCCGGATCCAGTCCTGATTCTTCAAGACTGTCCTTGAGGAATGCTTCCTCAACACCAACGATCGATCCTATCTCTCCCTCACGTCTACCCCGATCCTCCCGCTCGTACGGCCAGCGCGCTACCCCTAGCCGCCGGCATGCGCTCTTGAACGCTGTCAGCGAGATCCCCTGCACAACATCCCCCGTCATACCTCCCTCCTCCTCCCGCTCCCTCTCCTCCTCCTCCTCCACTACCACCACCACATTCTCCTCCTCCTCCTCCTCCTTCTCCTCCTCCTGGCTTACCAGCGACGAGGCCGCCCGAGCCTGGGGGAGGTGGAACAAGCTCTCCAGGGTGGAGTAGGCGAGGCTGACGCCGCGAGTACCTTTATCGCCAGGGAGGGAGGGCTGGAAGCGCTTTCTTCGGGGATGAACCCGTATCGCAGTAGTCGACATTACCAGGGGAAACAGCGATCAGCACAACTCAAGGGGTGGGATAGGAAGGAACTTAGAGTAGATCGGCAGCACTCAAGTGGTCGGATAGTGAGGAACTTAGGGATGGTGAGCGGAGAGTGGAGGGGGCAGGAAGGAGGCAGAGTTGAAATGCGCGGAAATACGTGGCGAAGCTTACTAGGCGGAAGAAGTCAGGAGGGGTAGTGGTCAAGCACAGTAAAGGTCGAGGGTGGGGTCCCAAAATCTGACTTACACCAAAACGTCTATCGTCCGCTGGTTATCCCTAGCGGCTGTCATGTGCAGGGATGACTCGCAACGGTTGAGGGGGCGGAGACTCCGGTCATGCTGACGGACCGGGGATTGATATCTGAGTCCGCGGTGCAACATGGGCCGAACTTAACCAGCCGAGGCCGAGACTCCAGCTTAGTTGGGCCCGGAGGATCATCGTTCAATGGTTGTCGTTGAAAATTACAAGCTGAAATTCAAATCGAAATTCTTTGAGCAAAAACGCCTTTCTACTCCTACCTGGCCTGGACCAACCTCCGTCTCTTTATTTCCTTCTTAAAACCATCGAAACAGTGACTTGAAGCTTCATGATCGACAATGCTTCTTGAGGCGCGAGTGAGGCAACAACAAGACGCATCACTCGGGCTCAGGGTGTAGTGCGAAACTGAAACTCAGGCTTGATCAAGCAAACTTTCCTGAACTCTTTATCATTGTATATCTGTACCCTCATTATGAACAAAAGTGGTACTACGGTAAGGAGGAAACGAGGAAAAGCTGCCAGCAATCGGTTTCCATGCCTGAACAAGGAAACGTGCCCCGCACGAGTAGGGAAATAGGTTTCAGGTCCTAGCCGACAGCAGTAGACTGTCGTGCTCGTTGTGTTCTAGTAAACACAGCAGTGATTGCTCTGGTGCTCTCCCTCATTCCAGAAGGTTGTGCGTACATCAAAAGTGCAAGACAAAATTCTGAGATCCTTGAAGTCATACAGCCAGTGATATTGTCTCATCAAATAAAGGCAATCTCTGACAAACTCCCGAAGCAAACCGCGCGAAACGACAACTACTCCAGTCCAAAGTCCCCTCTTGCTGTCATAAACCACCCGATCCACGCCGGATCCAGCCCTCCTTCATCCTCTTCAATGTTTCGATTCTGCGCATGCACAAGTCCTGTATTCTCGTCCCTCGTATCTCCGGGTGGCTCTCCTCCTTGTCGTGGGCACCGAGCCTCCCGCTCGTACGGCCAGCGCGCTACCCCCAGCCGCCGGCATGCGCTCTTGAACGCTGTCAGCGAGATCCCCTGCAAAACATCCCTCGTCATACCTCCCTCCTCCTCCCGCTCCCTCTCCTCCTTCTCCACTACCACCACCACCACATCCTCCTCCTCCTCCTCTTCCTGGCTTACCAGCGACGAGGCCGCCCGAGCCTGGGGGAGGTGGAACAAGCTCTCCAGGGTGGAGTAGGCGAGGCTGACGCCGCGAGTACCTTTATCGCCAGGGAGGGAGGGCTGGAAGCGCTTTCTTCGGGGATGGACCCGTATTGTAGGAGTCGATGACATGACTTATAGTGAGTTTTCTGGTAAGGAGACAGTAGTCAGGAGGACACGGATGCGGATCGAGTCCAGGACGAAAGGGGATGTCACCTGGTGAGCAGGGCAGCAGCAAAGTGTTGCGCTGCAGGGAGGAGCCAGTTTCGATGGGTCGCAGCCGGTAGGGCAATTTTACTAAGGGCACATGAACCGTTGCAAGTTCCATCTGGCGGAGTCCTTGTCACGTGCAGGGTAAGGATGACTAAGAGGTCGCTAAGAGGAAGTGTGTCACCGGGAGGCGAGCCTAGGGGTGCCAGGTTCTTCAATAGTGTTGCATTTAATAAAAGTGATACCCTCACTGCCGACATTTGCGCCCCCGGCGCCTCAACATTTACTCCGAATTGCTACTAACAGCGCCGCATGCATCGCAGTACCGTGTAAGCGATCAAACTTTTACTTATCTCTAGCAATTCCGACTGTTGAAGAGTCATCGAGTCACGAAGAATTGGTTCGCTGATGACAACGGGGCCGGTCATGAGTGTCTCTGAGATGTGACCGAGGGGCGCCGTTACCGTGGCACTGACTGAAAAGTTCCGCACTCCGCACTCGCTCAGCCGCACTGCAGGGGGCCCGCCGGATATTTTTTACTTCAGGCGGAAGTTTGGCCGGAACCTTGTCAGCCATCCGCTCGCCCGGGGCCCCCCGCCGGGGGGCGGCTGAGGGCACGGGCCGCCGGCGGCGGGGCGGCGGGCCCCCGCGGCAGTCCGACACTGACAGTGTCCCCCGCCGTACTAGCCTACACGGTACTACGGTACGGTCCCCAGCGGCCCGGCCCCCCGCGCGGTGAGCAGGCGCCGGGCTGGCAGGAGCCCGGCCCGGCCTCAGAGCGGGCGGCGGGGCCCGGCCGCCCGCCAGCGCCAGGGGCGCCCCGCTCACAGGCTGCGGCGGCGGCTGCGCACCGTCGCACAGCGGCACCGTCACGCACTGCGGCAGCGGCACCGTGCAGCGGCAGGCCCGGGCGCGGGCGGCCCGGCTACAGTGTGAAAGCCGCACTGATGATGCGGCCGCCAGTGCCCCATCGGCCGCCGGGCACCGGGCCCTGAGAGCCGGAGCGGCGCGGCCGCGGCGGCCCGCGTCCACAGACCCTGGAACGCGGCGGGCCGCGCGGCCGCAATCTTCATCGTTTACTCAAAGTTAAGTTAAAGATTTGGCCCTAGTATTGTTCGATTAATTAACTTTGAGGAGTTCCAGTGGGGTAGAACGCCACGTGGACATAAGAAGACTCAACGAATGCTTCAAGGTCAACATTTTCTTAACAAGCGACCTATCAGAAATTGGTAATGAAGCTCCCTCATCGAGGCCCGCGGAGTTAGGCTGTACCCCCCCTACCAATGCACCCCCCTCTTGCAGAGTCATTTAGAAACTTGACCGCCCAACTTCGCCATGGCGTCCAACGAAGACTCGCACCACTACCTCATAGTCGATGGCAAGGCCGTCGCTAACAGAGGCCTGAGGGTGAGAGATCATGATGATGTTGATGGAGATGATGATGATGATGACGACGACGACGGCAAAGACGACGATAATCATGATGATGATGATGGAGATGATGATAGAGTTGATGGAGATGATGATGACGACGACGATGCTGATGGTGATGATGCTGATGGTGATAGAGATGACTATGAAGTTGACGGAAATGATGATGGTGATCAGGCCTAAGGGTGAGAGATGATGATGATAGAGATGATGACGATGGAGATGATGATGAAGTTGATGGAGATGATGATGATGATGTTAATGTTGATGACGATGATGACGATGATGACGATGACGATGATGATGGGGATGGAGATGTAGTGATTATGATGGAGATGATGATGACGATGGAGGTGATGATGACGATGACGATGATGGAGATGATGATGATGATGACGATGGGGATGATGATGAAGACGATGATGATGCTCTTTAGATCAGTCCCTTCCAGCATGATGCCCTGACCGCATCCTCAGATCCCTCCCAAGAAGCCTGCTGCTCCTAGCAGGAGGATCAAGCTCGGGTCTGCTCGTCCTGTCGAGGAGTACAAGCCCAGGCACGACATCCCGGACCGGATGGATCTTCGTAGGACTGCTCGTGCTGCTCGAGCATGCTTCACGCCTCTAAGCGGAGGCTCATGACAGGGAGATGGATGACCGACGTGGAGTATCAGGGAGTGACCAACTCGTGAGGGACCTGCTTGCTTCATGGCCTGTGCTGATCCCTCGCAGCTGCTGCGCCAACGCCGTGGCCGGAGCGTACGAGTATCTGTGCAAGCGACAAGCAGAAAAGACTGGGGACACGGTAGGAGACATCTCAAGGTAAGGGCGTGAGCCTTTCAAGGGCGTTGAGAAAGGAGGGAAGGTAGTATGGAGAGGTAGAAGAGAACGCACAATAGGCGCGCGAGGGAGGAGCGAGCAAGACGGAGAGCGAGGGAAGCAGAAACAAGAGGTTAGGGGACGGAAGTGGGATGAGGAGCAAGGCTACGAGGAGGAGCGAGGAGGGCATGACGCGCTTTCCTAGGCTTTTCATCTATTACGTTGGACGTCTCGCGGATGCAGCCAGTGCGCATCTCGCTTGCCTCGTCTCGTCGGCGCGCCACGTGACTTTCAGTGTTCAACGAGGAGCACCTGCCGCTGGAGGACGGCGGCATGACGGCATGT